AGCTGGCGCTGGGAGGATCCAAAGCATAGGAGAAAAGGTAGTAAGGTGTTGCCAAAGAGTTAAAGCGGAGATTATCACGATAACCTACATCAATCGAAGGTGAACATCAAGTCTCGTCGACACTCATCACAGCAGTGGAGCACAGATTCCAGAATGAAGACCGACTTTTGACCAGGGACCGTGAGCAAGCCAAAGTGAACAAACTCAGTGTAAATAGAGAATTCCAAAAGTAAATTTGATGCATGTTAGAGCTATGACTGCTTATAAATTCAAAGGCGAGTGTAAATGAGGACTGTTGTGGAGGTGAAAGAGGTACGGGCATTAACGACAGCGGGGGATTTACAAGTGGCGCAAGCAAGATTCTTCAAGCGTGGGAAAAGCAAACGGGAGATTGCGGGCCTCACTTGGCGCGGAAATAAGTGAGCAAAAAGCAACTTTATGCGTACTCAGGCCTTCCCAGATTACAGCCTCTGTCTTAGAGTTGAGATGGACTAGGAGCCAATGGACCTTTATAAGCGGCGCCCAAATATCTGAGGAGGCGGCTCTAATATGTTCACTGATCCTTCCTCTTAGACTTTCGCTCCGAGTACTAAGTCTTCCCCTCGAGTCGACTCCAGTTTACGAGCTTTCCACATTCGTCTGGCCACACCTGACCGATTTCTCGCTCACCGCCAATCGACCATCATCGACCATTCCACTAGCTGTCGATCTTTCTTCCTTCATCAGAAACATGCCCCGTCTTACCGCCTTGAGCCTGATGCTACCCCAATCACCGTCATCCCCGAGATCGACCATCGTTTTCCCCATAAATTCGACTAAGATACCTCCTCTCGAGCGTCTCCAGATCTTGACGCTAGCTTACCCAAACCCGGAAGACATTATATTCGACCACCTTCCAGCCTCGCTATGTCACCTATCGCTGACCGACTGTCCCCGACAGTACCTTTCGTTGGACCCTCCGAGTCGTCTCCGAGAACATAATTACTCTTCGCCCATCATCACTTCGTCCGAGCTCCGGAATATTATTTATCGCTGCAACACTCCGGCTCTTAAGAGCCTCGAAGTCCTCTACCAGGCGGACACATTGGAGGTGGAAGCCTTGGACTTGATCGCCCGAAGGTTTTCGCAACTTCATACACTCAAGTTATTCCGCTACACATCATCTGTCGATGATCCCGTAGACGCTGTGAGTACACTATTCACTATGCGCCACGACCCCCACCGACTGCTCTGATCCTGATCTTCACTGTTCCTCCTTTTTTCGGCTAGACGGTCGTTGCATCAGCGCTTTCGCCACTCAAAGAACTTCGTCACACATACGTCCATCTCAATAATCCGAGAGCTCCGCATTCTCGCCCCAAACAGCTCGCGGAGGAACAATGGGCCGTCACGAGGTTTTGGACAGGATTCAAGACACCGCGGACGTTTTCGCGAATGCACTCGCACCCCAACTGGACACGATTTTCCTGCTCGAGCGCTACTATTGGTCGACGCATTGGGCGAGATGGAGTGTAAGATATGGGGGAGACGGTGGTGGTGGGATCGGGATCGGGAAGGAAGCGTATTGTGAGCGCGTTCGCAATTATAAGATACCGTATGTCATCATTGTTTTTTTTTCGTCGCTGCGCTGCTTCGCCGAGAGCTAAAGAACTCGATATTGCAGAGAACAAGTAGAACCGATAGCAAGACCTAGATGAATTGTAACGCAGGACCGTTCATGTTTCTGGGTGGCTTGGCTGTTTCCGTCGTGGTGGTACGTTTGTAGATGACGCCGAAAGATTGAGAATGTTATTTAGACTCTGTCGAGCGCTGCACGGCGGGTACTTTTGCTACCTTCTAAATATGTCTATGCATCGTTACCCCTGCCGAATATAAGTGTAGGTATCGTACGATGCTGATAGCGATATTGTTCTCCTTGCTTTTGAGAGTTGGTTTGTGTCGGAGCAACATTCTAGATAACGTCGTTCAGTGCCTCCTCAACTTTCTGGTATCTAGTCTTGCTCGTACGTTGGCCTCTGCGATCCATCACTTCCTTGTTATGGTACGGCACGCACACAGTCAACGCACAGGGTAAGTAACTTCTCATGTAGAAAATGACCATCCCCGCTTGGCAGGATTCGTTCTCATAAGTTGTTTTATACGCGAGTTTACACGAATTTATGTGCTCTTCATATCTTGTAAATACTAACTACGGGCAAGCAAATGGATTTCCGTAAACCAGTCGATTTGGCCAAGACGCGCCACTCGGTGGTTCATAGGGTGGCGGATGCGCCACTTCGCCTCCGGACAACTCCGACTAGACTCTTCCCGAACCAAGTTGTGCAACGGGGCCGATTTATTTCTTTATCAGATCTTACCAGCTCAAGCTTCCCCTCCAAGGGCACGTTTCGAGAATGGAATAGCTGGGATACTCTTCACCACCACAACCTTTCTTAAGAAGTTGTACATGGCCGCGTCGGCAAAGTCTTCGTCAGTTCAAGTTATCGCAAGTTTACAGTTCATATCGATGACTAACGTCGACTAACCCTCACTGCAAGTCCTAGGAGCAGGCCACTTAAACTCGAAGACCTCAACGACGGCTGTCTTTGTCTTGCGGTGGACGAACTACGGCGTTATCGAGAACACTATAGACCAAAATCGCTTCACTCTTTCTCTGCCGTATGCCGGCGCCTTCGCCAGATCACATCTCCAGTCATCTTTGCCCGATCCTCAACCCCCTTGGTCATCAATATCCGTGACTTCATCCCCGAGACACTATGGAAATTTATCAGGTACGAGTCCCGAAATCTCCATACAGCATTATCTCAATAGCCTATGCAGTGTGCTGTCGTTCACTGGAGAACGCTCAGCGGATACTGTAGAATTGAGTGTTGAACACCTTGAAAGGGCCATGCCATCCTTCGAGGTTCTCGAATCCGTACGATTTCATGAAATCTTCGGAAGCTCTATTGCCCTCGCCATCCCCGCCGTGCTAGCCGCTCCTCACCTACGAGCACTCCACGTCATTGACCAGTGCCCTACATTGAACCGAATCTCAAAGACGAAGGCTTGGCCTCAGATCTTCCCCCCGACCAGATTCCATCGTCGATCGTCGAGCTGAGGTGGTGCAGAGACCAGTGGAGTTTTGCGACGGAAGCTCAGATATCGGACGAGGCGGCTTTGATACGCGCACTTGCCTTTCCTCTCAGACTTTCACTAAGTGTTCCCATCGAGTCTGCTCCTATCCACGAGCTGTCCACACTCATCTGGCCACAACTTACTGATCTGTCGTTCACCGCGAGCACGCCATCCTCAGCAACGACATCCTCCATTGACTTTTCATCCATCCTCGATAAGATGTCTCGTCTTTTGAATCTTAGCGTGTTGCTCCCACAATCATCATCGTTCCCTCGTTCGACCATTCTTCTCCCCAGTACTTCGCCTGCAACTCCTCCTCTTGAGTCCCTCCGAAGCCTAACACTAGCCTACCCAAACCCCGCAGACCTCATATTCGACCATCTCCCACCCTCACTCCATCACCTCTCACTAACCGACTGCCCCCGCCATTACCTCCTTCTCGACACCTCGAATCCGCTCTACGAATACAGCTACGACTCGCCCATTCTCACTTCGTCCGAGCTCGGAGGAATCGTTCAACGCTGTCATACTCCTGCACTTGAGAGCCTCGAGATCGTGTATCGGGCAGACGCGGCAGAGGTGGAGACTGGGGATGATATCACGGAGGTTTTCGGGGTTGAGGACACTTAAGATGTTTCGCTACGTAGACTCCACTGAAGATCCTGTGGACGCCGTGAGTATCCGTAATACTATCATCACTCTGATCCTGATATTAACCATACCTTTTCGTCTCTCGACCAGACTCTCCTCGCATCGGCGCTTTCTCCCCTTCAAAACCTCCATCACCTATACATCCACCTAAGCCCTCCCGAGACCCCGCAATTCCGATCCGGACAGACCGGCGAGGAACGACGAATCGCTCGCGCCGCCTTTCGAAAAGCTCTGCAAGACACCGCGAATATGTTCGCAGGTGCGTTCGCGAGCTCCTACCTCGACGTGATTTTTCTGCTGGAGCGGTTTTATGGGATGACGAGGTTGTCTGAGTGGAGGGTGATACGTAGTGGAGATGAGGATGGAGATGGGAGGGAACAGGTGTATTGTGAACGTGTCGACGGTTTTGAGATTCCGTGAGTGATACGTTTTGATGCTGTTACATTTTACTGTCTATGCGGCATGCACCATTACCGGGTTCGTCGACTGCTGACATTGATATCGTACGCAGAGAGCAGGAGGCACCGGTGCCGATATGGAATACGGGGTTTACGGGTGTTTTTCTCACTTAGGTGTATCCATGTATGTCTTTTACGCTTGTCGGTTGTGTGAGCGAGCACGGTACATGTGCTAGTGAATCCTCGCTCCGGGCAGTGGTGCGACATTATCTCGCTGATTCAGATGTCGTACAATACGAACATTACCAAACCAACCCCCATGCATGTGTCACAGAGTCGGTCGTACTCTTCAACGGGGAAAATGTTCACCTTAGAGAATACGTTCGTCATGATATAGCCAGTTATAGAACATGAACGAACTGGTGAATTGACATGGTACTGTGGAATCCTACTGAGCGTTAGCCTTGTGATTTCAATGGTCAATAAGTCCATGAAATATTGCCCCTTGAGGCTCTGGCATGTGTCGTACAGTATATAAAAAGTCCTCTCTATTACAGTACTGTGACAGCACACTTATACTCATACGAAGGTAGCAAGGGAAACAAACGAGATATACATAGCAGTGTCTATTTTGCCACGAATTTCGAACAGCACCGTCCTACGACTGTGGGTACACAATTACATCCGTCGCTCTACTCATGCTCGGATCTCGCCACATCAGTTGCATAACTAGGTGGCGCTTCCAACAAATCCGTCCTCATGCGCATCTCCTCTAAAATGTCCTGCCTCAGTCTTGCTTCCATTTCCTCATAAACCACTCTGTGCGTCGGCTGCTCTGCATCTGCCCCAATTGCATCCCTCATCCCACCGTCGTCCAAGTCCTCTTCGTTCGACACTTGATCTGCAAACGCAGTTTGCGCTACATCCTGTCTCAGCCCCAAGCTCTCACCCAGACCACTGTCAAGATTTCCTTCGTTTTCCTCATTCCTCGCATTCGCATTGAGACCCCGAACTCGTGCGAGCTCCTTGTCAGTAAGAGGCGTAGCCTGGACGTCGGTCCTGTCTGTCCAGGTTAACATTGTCTTTGGGCCTATATTGATGACGACCTCGTTTTCCGAACTAGCCTGGGATGCACTTCGATGGTGATTGTCGCCTCGGCGGGCTCTAAATACCGCATCATCCTCACCCCGGAAAGGTGTGAGTTCATCACTGTGTCTGCTTGTCCGATGCTTTGCTAGCTGACCCAATCGCCGCAATGCATGTCCGAGACGACTACTGGCTGCGCCAACATATCTCTCTCGCGATCGTCGCCGTCGGAGAAAGAGAACAACGAGTGCAGAGCAGCAGAGTACTACGAATGCTATTACTCCGCCCGCAATCGCGCCAAAGTGTCGTGGCGACGGGGATTGCAAAGATGTGGGTAGATTCGGGGCCGGGTGGCCGTTGGTAGTGGTGATCGAGGATGCGGTGGTGATACTAGGTGGATTCTGTCAATAAATCGCCATGTTAGGAGGCTCTCTTAGTGACGTACTTGAGGGCTAAAAGCGAAAAGAGAGCTCCTTGTGCAGGACTGAACGATTATTTAGCCCGAACATTCGTGAATGACAATGGGAGAGTTTTACCTGGAGGCACCGAAGCTTTCGCCAGATGTAATATTATAAACAGTGGGAAAGAAAAGACCAACCCCGATGGACGGCGAGAGGGAATGAGAACGAATGGTGGAAATAAGCGATTGCGCAATGGTCTGATTGGCGCTGATGGCTGCAGCGCGCAGATTCCAGCCTAGAAAATTAATACTGTTATGTCTGTTCTTTTGAATCAAGTAACAACTATGACCGGACATACCTGAGGCTATGCGATCCAGACTCGAGCTGTCCGCTGGAAGCCCATATTGAAAGCTCCCCGACCCTATCAATGTCGAGTACAGCTGTGTTTGCGCATCTAGGATCTTAAAATGGAATAATACAAGGTAAGATGGTTTCCTAGAATTATAACCACAGTGGAAATGACGCAAGGAAATTCGTACAGATTCCTCAACTAGCCCTGTCTGCAGCCAAAGATCGAAGAAGATATTGTCTCCTAACGTCCATGATGATGACTGTCCGTACGTGGCCAAGAGACTCGAGGTAGGTGAATCCACAGCGAGAGCCTTCCATTGCGAGTAAAGGTCTGCGGCCTTGTTCTATTTTCACGGACAGTTCAAGAGTGGTGAAGTCAGAGGGGAGGATATGGCATACCGCATATAACTCCCTATCTTCAGGAACCTCAAGAGCACTACTGAGCTCAGACATCGCTTTGATGGCTATGATACCCTTTAGAGCCAGGTTTGTTTGGTTAGCCGTAATCGGAATCCCGTCGATTGAGAACCTTGGAATGAGCTGTCAGCAACCCATATATGGGTATACTACGAGTACTCACTGATTAGAAGGATATAGTGTGCTGTTGACCAAATAATCCGCCCAGGTCTTGAGAAGTATGTACTATCATTTCACCGAAATTATATGGTCAAATCGACGATCTCGCCGAACTTCGGTTTAAGTGACTGACATATGAATTAGCCTGATTTCCATCCCCTGTTGTTCGTGCGTATGCATAAGACATGATAATCATGTTAGCAGACTCTTTAAGTACTCGTCAGCATGATCTGGGTTCAATCTCAAATATTTTGGACATACGATCGAGAGCTTGGGATATACTCGAAGAAGCCGTGGTCGCGTCAGCATTTGGGTAACTTAGACCTGTCAAATTGAGAGTAAGTTAGCCAAAGTTGGAATACAAAATTGACGTGAAACGTTCTGGATTACCAATATCCGAGGACGAAAAGGGATGAGTATATGCCGAGTTGTTTTGGAATTTGAAAAGAGGTTCCAAAATCGGACGCCCCAATGAAGGGTCGATATACATTATCATAGGAAACATCTCAAAGAGCGTTTCTACCGCATTCACACGACTGTGGATCAGTGCTATTGATAAATATTGTCTCGATGTATACGAGTTCAGAGACGAACCTGTGAGCCACCCCACCCATATCTTCCATGAACATCATCACATCCGTAGAGTTCAACGTCCCATCCGAGTTTTGCCCTAATGTCAGCTCTGTTGCTCCAAGGCACTGCCGCAAGCCGAGAGATAAAATGTCTGAGTACTCTGATGAGACACTATTTGCAGCAGAGATGATTTTGGCATCAAGCTCATCGGCCCTGAACAGGGCACCAGAGAAGTCGCCCAAGAAAAAATTCATCTGGGTATAATCGTCTGGAGGTCACTCGTGTTACTATTTTCCCTGGCATGTGCACTCACCAGATCGTCATCGCTGGAGTAGTTGGCTTTGTAATAAAGGCTTCGATTCTGCTGTTTTCCTTCTAGATCTATGAACGCAATGGCCGGTTCGCGTGTAAGACCAATAGCCCAAACTACAGGATCCACTGTACGAGTGATGTCCTGGAGATCGACTGCGATTGCGAACACCGGAAAGTCATCCCTGCAAGTACCACGTCAAGAGATATACACACGTAGATAGAAGATACGACAAACCTAATTGGACCATAGGGGTTGTCTTTCGAGTTTGTCAAAGTTCCATTCGCGCAAAACCCGTCTCTATTCTTTACGTCAGAGTTGGACTCCCATGTTACCGTCACGTTTGAGTCGGGCTAACAATGCATTGGAGTCAGTGTTGAGACAGCAGTGAGGCACATATACATACAAAACGCATAGCGTAATAGGTAGTACCCCACTCGGCTTGCCCCTGAGTCTCATTGAAGACATCAGGGTCAGTGAGGAATACCCCGAAACGAACATCGCTGTCGACGAGGGTGGTCCAATTAACGGGAGAGTCCCGATTACCACTACACCATTCTCAAATTGTATGGATAGTCAGTCAACCTTGTCATCTCTCTGACGAAGAGTCAGTATAATGTCTAAGTACCTGCACTGATGTCTGTGTAAACCTGCACAGAATGTGACTCCCCGTCCGTCGATATAGCATCGAGGTATAAATACGAGAACGGGATTGACTGGCGAACCCAGTCACCTGGCTATAAGGTCAAGTATATTATGGTTTTGAAGAAGTGCGTTTGCGTAGATAAACACACCTCTATGGGACTAAAGAATGTGATATTGAAAGTGATAGGACCAGCCGGAATCGTCAATATTGTTCGAGTTGGCGTGATGATGATTCCGGATATATCTGCAATCTCAGTATTCGGAGTAGCGATAGGGAAATCTCCAAACAAGCGGTATGCCTTTCCATCTACCCTAGCATAACCAGCCCATCCTAATACACCTTCCTAGAGTAAGAGTGAACATCATCTTCGGAGAACAAGGGACTCCATGTGCGCACATATTCAGAACTTGAAGGTGTTGGGCGAGTGGGCCATCCAATGGGAGACTTGCTTGTCCCGTTTACGGGCTGCCATGCGCTGAGGTAGGGTGAGCGAACAATGAGAGGAATGTCCACAACTCCAGAAGACAGGGCAAGGACAGATCGATAGAGAAAGAACCATAGACATATCACCAGCTGCAGTACGATCCTAACGATAGAACTGTCTCTAGCGTCGTGCATTGCAGAGAGATTCAGATGTGGGAGTTGCGGTATGAGAGAGGGAATCAGGACAAAAAAGACCGTTGGCTGATTAGAGCTACCTCGTCATGAATCGCTAAGTGATCAGTGTCTCCGCGATCAGGCGGTGAAAGGTGATGATATTGAGCATAGACTGACAACGATCATCTTCAGTGTATGTACGCTGACCTAAACTCGTAGTCAAATGACAGAGGCAAATGGCAAAGACCTGACCTATTGTGGCCCACATCATTAATCACGACTTGATGACCAGATTCTGATGTGAGAAGTGGGGCAACGTCACGACTTAGAAACACTGCCGTCGGATTTCTGCTGCATCTGCAAGGGCATCAAGGGCAACCGTCGACTCGAGGACACGCGCTCGAGCTCTGACGGGAATACGAACGAGATAGAATGTTCTGCACAGATAGGAAGGCTTGTTCTCTGGTCATACCAAGGGAGAGTGTCGATTCTCGTAATGTGTGTACTGTTGCCGGGAAGAGCGGTAGATCGGAGCAACTGGAATGTACCCAACACGCACCCGTCATGTCAAACAAGTATGGAATCAAAGTGGTGCAAGAACAATACTGATGAAAGAGTATGCTATGCATCCCGAAGTGTTGCCCTCCATTTAGTGGTGCTCAGTCCCGTACTGCGTGTCTCACCGCAATCTGATGTTCTGAACAGCTCACGAGTCCTCCACAGCCACACGGTGTTACAACTGTGCCGTCAGTAAAGGCGAATCATGATGGAAACCGTCTAACACACAGAAGAGAAAAGCAAGACATGCTAAGTGAAACGACTTAGACACAACCCATCGTGGGCGAACGTCGCTCGACATCGTATTTGGACCTAGTTAGACTAAAAGTTGCGAGTAGGAAGAAGCGGTCAAACTAGTCTCCTATGAGCAGAGTAGCCAATCGTTCAAGCAGGCTGGCATAAGGATTGCTGCAGTATCTGGCGCACAGCAAGCGCTGCCCCATCTGTTATCTGTCCGCACAGTAACCAAGGCCAACGTGGCCTCCTGCTCAATACTCCGGAGAGTTCGAGAGCATATTCCAGAGAGAAATGACAGCCCAATAGTGCGAGACGTCTCGAGCAGCGAAGCCGGTGGTCGGGATGGCGGGATAGATGACGTAAGGAAGCGAACGAACAGGTACAATCGGGAGCAGGAGCGAGTTACGATTCAAGTCAGCCTCGAGTTCGCGAATTTCTCGACATAAGTCATTTTGAAGCCTTCCGCAACGATTCCTCCATACAGTTCCCCCGAACGACGACTCGACCCGATACATCCATCCCTCGCAGCGCCGAAAGCTCGACGATTGATAGAGAGGGAGACAGAACGAGCGATGAGGGCGGTTAGATGAAGTCGCCGAGTGCCTGCATCTTAGGTCCAGACGACGAGACAAAAAATCAGCATACATCGATCCAAGGAGATCATGAGAAGAAGAAGAACAGAAAGAGTAAGAGGAAAGAGGGCGGAAAAAGTAGGAGACAAGAGAGGTGAGACGAAAAAAAGAAAAAAAAGGAAGGCTGACGTGTTTGGATTTGAGAGTGAGGACTTACTCACAACTATACCTGATAGTAACGGCCACCAAGATCCGGTCCCACTCCCGATTGCGCCTATAAGATCCACCAAGAGGGAGAGGAGGCTCAGGATAGCGCCTCTGAAGGCGGCGATGGTGGAGATCACGGGTTTCAGCTCTTTGTACATAGATCCTGCGCTGTTGCCGGCCATGACCTACCAAAAACGGTCAGCGTGACAAAACAGGGGTTTGAGAGAGGCAAGCGGGGGTGGAGGAGAAAGAGGGGAGGGAAGACGAAACGCACCATCTGTTGGTCCTTGAGCTGGTTAGCAATATCGCGCGGCCAGGACTTGGAGACTTCGATCCAGGACTTGGAGAACGCGGCACAGGCGGTGGCCATGAGGGAAATATAGATGTCGGTGTCAATTGGGTCGAGGAGGGCGGTGCGGAGGGTGTGAGGTGGGTCATGTAGTACCCGATATCGGAGACAGCGGCGAGCTGGGGCGGATCTTACATGGGCTGGACAGAGGAGGTGTGTAAGGGGCGAGCAAGTGCGATGACGAGAAAGAGAGGAGAAGGGAAGAGACGAGGAGGCTGTCCCGGAAACGAGAGGCAAGCATTTGCAAAACTATGAACAAGTTCGATGTAAGCGCGAATTCGAGAACAATCGGCACATTCAACGTACAAATCAGCTTGACGGGATACGACTCGCTTCCCTCTGAACCTATTACTCTTCACCGGAATCTCCAACCTAAACCTTGCAAATAGACGTCCACAGCGAAAGGGACGACCATCGTAATCAGGTTCTCCACATTCGGCGAGTTCTCCATCCAAAGGGTTACGCTTAACGCGCGTCCTGCATTGTTCTACGTGAAGAGGAGGTGGAAGAGGTTGACGACGGCACCCTCAAATTCGGGACCGCGGCCGGTGTGGATGGTTGTGGGTGAGAGGGCCATTCAGACGACCAACTCGCAGATGCTGGTGGCCATGAAGAGAGGAGGGACCGCGTTCCTTTTGGAGGAGTTTGTCGATGAGGATGACGATTAGGGCGGCGGCGACGAGTTGGATAATGAGGAGGAGACAGACGCCGGCGCCGATATCGCGGGATTGCCGGTGAAGACCGGTGAGCGCGTAGACGGTTGCTTGTCCAAGAGATATGACCATGGTGAATACTATGAAACGACGTCAGCATAGTGGATATTGGGCATATTGAAACGGATTCGCCAGAGGGAACGGCTAAGCTTGCGGTGATGAACATGGACAGTTACTTCCGCATCGCAGTGTGGCGTCAAATTGTGGCGCACATTGACGTCACGACAAATGTACCCGGTGGACGATACCTCCACATGTAAGTACAATCGGACGAGTCGACAGGTGCAGGTACAATGATATACAGCGACCGGGCAAAAAGCATGAAGAGACCTAACGAGGTATGAGAAACACACACGTTTCTGAGCACCGCACTATCCTCATTGAGCTATGTAAAAGTCCACCTCGGTCAATTGCAAGTTGGCACCGGAGAGGAGTTGCATGATCATAACAGAGGTGACGATGGGGAGATGCCGAGTTCCATGAGCGTTCCACGGTTTGAGGCGAAGATGATATGCGCCCAACAGAGCGGCCCGGCAAATCGGAGGACATGATGGCGTAGAGCGGGACTTGGGGACAGACCAAGAAGATGAGGTGCGCGACGGACGTCCATAGTACTTTCCTATTGAAGGGCACCTGTTACAAGTGAACGTAAGCGACTACCAGCATGCCGAAATGAGAGTACTGTACTTTTTCGACCAAAGGTTCGTCACGCGTTCTCCGCGCTGATGAACCGAACAAAATCCTGCGTGACCTCACGCATAACGCATGGTGAGTGAACAGTGACCTCGGCAGGCGCTTGCGCAAAATAATTATTTTTGCAAGCGCCTACGTTGTTTTCTGAACCATTTACGGGTCCCGTCACGCTCACGCACGGTTTCTGAACCGTGACCCGGGCGAAACTGATGGGTGACGTACATTTTTGATGAACCTTTGGTCGAAAAAGTACAGTATAAGCATACTTATGTCCCCACTCTTGCTCTTCTACTTCTACGGCTCTGACCTACATCTCTCTAAATACGACTTGAGAGACGCAATCGATAGTAACCTCCGCTTTTGCGTCCGTCATTACGATATTTCGTCGAAGCTGTAGATAACCGCATCCTCAATGTCTTCGTGAGTTGTCCCCTGCGCTTGGATATCAGCTACCGTTCCTCACTTCTAGGGGCAGAACACTTAAAATTGACGACCTCAATGACGACTGTATTGGTCTTGTGGTGGCCGAACTACGGGAGCATTACGTTCGCAATAGCTCGAAATCGCTTCACGCGTTCTCCATCGTATGCCGGCGCATTCGCGAAATTGCATCCCCAATCATGTTCGCCGAATGCTCAGCACCCCTGAACATCGAGGTCCGCGGCTTCATTCCAGACACACTCTGGAAATTCATTCGGTATGAACTTGGAAATTGTTGTATCATTTCCATTGATCAGTGTATATAGCGTTCTATCGCTTACTGGACACCGAGCACAAAGCGCTCCATACTTAAGAACCGACCATCTCGGAAGGGCGATGCCACAATTCGAGGTCCTAGAATAGGGCTTATATGTTAGTAAAAACTTGGAACTTTTTGCGAAAGCTCATTGGCGGATCGGGCAGATCTTCCGCCAACAAGTTCCAAGTAAACTTGAAACATATAAGGTCTAATCCGTGAGATTTCTCAACAGCTTCGGAAATGCGATTGTCCGTGTCATCCCTGCCGTGCTGACTGCTCCTCGCCTGCGAGCATTACACGTGATTGACCAAGTCGCATACTCCGAACCAAGTCTGTCAGATGGACAACTATCGTCTAAGATTCCCCCGATTCCAACCTCTGTCATAGAGTTGAGATGGACCAGAGACCAATTCATCTTCGCCAGAGACGCCCAGATATCGGATGAGGCAGCTGTGATTCGTTCGCTGGCCTTTCTTCTTAGGCTTTCGGTCCAAGCATTGAGCCTGCCCATCGAGTCGGCTCCAATTCGCGAGCTTTCCACACTCACCTGGCCTCATCTTACCGATCTCTCGCTCACCGCGAATCGACCATCATCAATCATACCGCTAACAGGCGACTTTCCCTCTATCATCACCAACATGCCCCGTCTTACCGTCTTCAGCCTGATGCTACCCCAAGCATCGTCAGCCTTAAGATCAACCATCGTTTTCCCCAATAGCTCGACTACGACACCTCCCCTCGAGTGCCTCCGGAGCATGACACTAGCTTACCCGAACCCGGAAGACCTCATATTTGACCATCTTCCAGCATCGCTATGGCACCTATCACTAACCGACTGCCCTCGGCATTACCTATCTCTGGACGGTCCAAATCCTGTCCGAGTGTACAACTACTCTTCGCCCATCATCACTTCTTCCGAGCTCCGGAGTATAATTGATCGTTGCAAAACTCCTGCTCTTAAGAGTCTCGAAGTCGTCTACCAGGCAGACAAACTGGAGGTGGAGACTTTGGGCCTGATCGCCCGCAAGTTCTCGCAACTTCATACACTCAAACTATTCCGCTACACATCATCTGACGATGATCCCGTAGACGCTGTGAGTGTCTATGCATCAGACTCCTTCTGGCTACTCCAATCCTGATCTTCACCGTCCCCCCCCTTTTTTTTTTTGGCTAGACGGTCGTTGCATCAGCGCTTTCGCCGCTCAAAGAACTTCGTTACATATATGTACACCTCGATAACCCGAGAGCCCCGCGTTCTCGCCCCAGACAGCCGGTGAAGGAACAATATGCTGTCGTGAGGTTTTGGGACGGACTTCAAAACACCGCGGACATTTTTGCGAATGCATTCACACCCCAACTGGACAGGATTTACCTGCTCGAGCGCTACTATTGGTCGACGTATTGGACGAGATGGAGTGTGAGGTATGGGGATGGGGATGGGGATGGGGGAGACGGCGGTGTCGATGGTGGGTCCGGCATCGGGAAGGAAGTGTATTGTGTGCGCGTTCGCGATGATAAAATCCCGTGAGTTATGTTTTTTGCCATATTCTTTGGTCGCTGCGCTGCTTCGCAGAGAGCTAATGGGCTGGATATTGTAGAGAACAAGTAGAACCAAGACCCAGACCCAGATGAAATGCAACGCAGGATCGTTCATGTTCCTACATACATGGATTATCTTTGTCGTGGTAGTACGTTTGTAGATGATGCCGAAAGATAGAGTTATATCACACTTGGACTCTGCTCAGTGCTGTACGGGTTCTCTTGCTATCTTCTGAATATGCCCATTGCATATCCACCCTCAATGAATATAAGTATAGTTATTGTGCGATGTTACAGTGACGGCGAAATTGTTCTCCTTGCGTTCGAGAGTCGATTGGAACAACATTTTATATGACGTCGCCCAGTCTGTCCTCAACTCTCTTGTATCTAGTCCTTGCTCGTACGTTCGCATGTGCGATCAATTACTTCGTTGTTGAGGGGGCATGCGCACAGAGCGAATAACTTGTCATGTAGAAAATGTCCCGCAGGCTTCATCCTCATAGGTTCTTTTCTACGTGATTTAGGACGAGTTTTTCTGCTTTAAATATCTGGTAAGTAAATACAGCGAAGTTGGCCAAGACGCGCGCCAATTGGCTGGTCCATTGGGTGGCGGACGGCGGGACGCGCCACTTCGACTCCGGACAACTCCGACTACACTCTTCCCGATCCAAGTTGTGCAACGAGGCCAATTTCTTACTATACTTAAGTACCAGGTCTAACCAGGTCTCGCTACCCTTCCAAGGGCACATTTCCAGAACGCAATAACTGAGATACTCTTCAAAACCCCCACCTCCCCTCCTAAGAGGTTGCGGATGACCGTGTCGTCGAAGTCTTCGTTTGTCGCAAGTCATGTTTACAGTCCATATCGATGACTAACCCGCACCCCAAGTCCTGGCAGCAGGCCACTTAAAATCGAAGACCTCAACGAAGATTGCATTCGTCTTGTGGTGGACGAACTAAATCATCATTACGAACATGATAGACTCGGGCCGCTTCGCTCTTTCTCTACCGTATGCCGGCGCCTTCGCCAGGCCACAATCTCCAGTCATCTTCGCCCGATGTTCAGCTCCCCTAGATATCGATATCCGTGGCTTCATCCCCGAGACACTATGGAAATTCATCCGGTACGAGTCTCGAAATATTCTTACAGCATTATCTCAATAGCCTATGCAGTGTGCTGTCGTTCACTGGAGAACGCTCAGCGGATACTGTAGAATTGAGTGTCGAACATCTCGAAAGGGCCATGTCATCCTTCGAGGTTCTCGACTCCGTTCGCTTTCATGAAATCGGAAGTTCAATCGTCCTTGCCATTCCCGCTGTGCTAACCGCTCCTCACCTACGAGCACTCCACATTATTGACACAGCGTAAAACGCCAGAATTCGCCGAGGGCATATTCTGGTCCAATTACGGAATACGACGGGAATCTCCCTGAACGCGCCGTGCCGCGTCTGCCGAGAATGCAAGAAAACACGACGGGATGACATTCTCATCCAATTCTTGTGTATCCTCGAGGAATTTTGTCGACTGCCAAGATATACGAGAATACGCCTGGCATTGGAGAAAATAAGGTTCTCGACCCCGCTTATCCAGGCCCGGAGGTCACTCGGGCTCGACTTAGACTTTTTTTTTGTGCCGACTTGCTCCCTCAGTGAGCTCCTCCATGTTCCTCACTCTGAATTGCTTTCCTGCTCTCGAGCACGCTGACACACTGACACAATTTTGGTTCTATAGCTTCATATAACACACAGATGTCGTCAGGATACGTGGTACATGTGAGTTCGAAGGTAAGTTACTGTAGTTTTTCGCGCAGAAGTTCACGCCACCGCCCCTCGGCTGTTGCCGAGATGACATAATCCACCTGTGTCCGGGTTCGAGAGCAGGTCAGGACAAGGGACACTGTTCACTAACTTTGTTGCTTTTTCAGGGATATTATACTTCATAAGGGTCCTGTGACCTTCATTAGCTACCATTCTGCACATACTCTAATATTATGATAAGCATTGACCTCAAATTCCATCTTACAGGCCTTGACTAGGCCAACCTGAGGCCAATTTGGTGGCAAAAGGATATTTTCGAATCTTCGTTATCTTTCGATTTGTCCCGTTTACATGTTCACTGCAGGTTGCCGGTATGGGACTGTCCCGGGGCACAGGTTCGTTCGCGACCCCTGTGGGACACGGGACATGAACTTGTGCGCGAAAAACTACAGTATTACAAAGAGTTGAAGGGGCGTCCCAGCAGTACCCTCCACCCCATACTTCCGTGACCGCACATCTGACATTGTCTCAAGCTTTCCTCGCTAGCATTCCGGGACCAGTCTCTCATAGTCGATACTATCTGTCTAGGTCGAACTATCTAAGATGATATTGTGTGAGTCCAAGGCCTCCAAGGCAGAGCGGTAAGCGATGAAGTCGGCGGCTTTGGATAATGTTCAGTGGTGGCTAGCGATAGAGCGGGTTCACGGGTTCGCTTTCATTCGTCGCGACCCATTGTACATATGTAGTTCTGTCCGTAGTATATATACTTCATGGCAGCTGTCTGCTAGTGTTATTTCCCTAATTCCTGGCAGGCTGTATGTGAATATTTCAAAATGCTCGAAAATGGAGCAATAAATGAAACCAGAGGGTCCACAAAAGGAAATTACTGGCGTGCAAGCAATGCCGTCTATTTACAGCAGACCCGGGCGTGTTCGCAGAGATCCTGGTCGCATCTTGCGATATTCTGAGCGGATTCAGTCCGTATCTTGCAAAACTTACGAGAACACGCCAACTCAGACATTCTCGTCGTATTCCCGGCGTGTTCTCCTAAATTCAGCGAATATGCAGAAGATATCCGGCCGGCGGATTCTGAGGCTTTATGCTGTGTGACCAGTGTCCCTACTCTGAACCGGATCTCAAAGACGAGGACTTGGCATCAGATCTTCCACCCGACCAGATCCCATCGTCGATCGTCGAGCTAAGATGGTGCAGAGACCAGTGGAGTTTTGCGACTGACGCACAGATATCGGACGAGGCTGCTTTCATACGCGCACTTACATTTCCTCTCAGACTCTCCCTACAAACCCTAAGTGTTCCCATCGAGTCTGCTCCCATTCGCGAGCTGTCCACACTCATCTGGCCACAACTTACCGATCTCTCGTTCACCGCGAACACACCATCTTCAGCAACGACATCCGCATTGACTTTTCATCCATCCTCGATAGCATACCTCGTCTTTGGAACCTCAGCGTGTTGCTCCCTCAATCATCATCATTTCCTCGTTCGACCACTCTTCTCCCCATTACTTCGGCTGCAACTCCTCCTCTTGAGTCCCTCCAAAGCCTAACACTAGCCTACCCAAACCCCGCAGACCTCATATTCGACCATCTCCCACCCTCACTCCATCACCTCTCACCAACCGACTGCCCCCGCCATTACCTCCTTGTCGACACCTCGAATCCGCTCTACGAATACAGCTACGACTCGCCCATTCTCACTTCGTCCGAGTTGGGAGGAATCGTTCGGCGCTGCGATACGCCTGACCTTGAGAGCCTCGAGGTCGTGTATCGGGCGGATGCAGCGGAGGTGGATACTTTGGGGATGATTGCACGCAGGTTTTCGGGCATAAGGACACTAAGGGTATTCCGCTACGTTGACTCCGCTGACGATCCTGTCGACGCCGTGAGCATCCATGTCCTATCATAATAGGCACTCTAATGCTAATATTCACCATCTCATCTCCTCTTTTCTTTCTATATACTAGAGTGCCATCGCCTCAGCGCTTTCTCCCCTCCAAACCCTCCGTCACCTCTACATCCAGCGGCGTCGAGTGACTTCAATAGAAAGAGGGATCCGTCACACCTGGGTTCCCAAAGCCTGACCCACAACCTTCGAAAGGCAATAGAGAGCGGGAGCAGCAGGTGAAGGGAGCTCTGTAGTTCTTCGAAGCGTGTGATAATGGTTCAGGGTTAGGCTGAGAAGGAGAAGGGGGAGGAGGCGATCAATCTACTTATACTGCCATCGTAGTCTGTGTGCTGTGCGTTGTCTATCTCGGTTGCCAGTCTCACTATTGGTGTACTATTCTACAATCATGTTCATCAATGATCTAAACTGTTGTATTTGTGATCATAGCTCTCATTTTACTGTCAATTGATCAAATGGTGCAGTGTCTTCAGGTCTGAACTCACAGGACGACGAGGAGATAGACAAGAGGTAAAGATTGCAACCCAGCAGGCATCGGCTCATTTCGTCACATCCGTTAAATAAGTACTGTAAGCATGATCACATTCAAACTGTCCATCGTGTAATGTATGTACGTTCGCGCACCAACCCTTCCGCATCCACGTCCTCGGGCCATGACCTATCTCGAACGACGTTCATACACTCCGCAAATAGGGTATACGAACGCCTTGCATTCTATCTGACAAACAAGAAACCACCTACAACAACTGCGCGCCCGACTCTGACCGAGTCGGTTTTTAACCTCCTCTTCGCTTCTCTCCTCTTCTCCACATGACACCTCACACCAACATACCGTACCACCTCACCAAACCAACCACTCCCCATACATATTCGGCCGTTCGCCCCTTACATACGCCTCAAACGTCCTCTTCAACACCGTCGACCAGTCCAAATCCCGCCTGTCGTGCGAAACTTTCTCGACTGGCGGAAGTCCTGCTTCGTTCGCCACGGGGTCGTGGTTATCGTCAGACGTAGATGGGGTACCTGCGACGGTGTTGGGGAAAGTCGCAGTGGTGGCGCTGGCGGCGTCGGGGCCTAGACGGAGGAGACGTTCGCCTTGGATGAAACGTTCGCCTAAGTCTGGCCAGTTACGGACTGGATCGAATGGGTTCCACCTGAAAATTGAGAAGATCAGTTAGATGACGGAGTGGGGGCGATGTGAGGTGTTACGAACCAGTTGTTGTGGTAGTGGTATGCGTATGAGCCACGGAAGAAACCCTCGAAGCCTAATGCCCGGGGACCTGCGCTCTGCTGCGACGGACTATCGAAGAAATGCGTCCACCTGCAAACACAAGGTCCAATCAGCACCAGACTACACGAAGCCAAAGAGTGAACTGACCACTTGATGAACGGCTGTGGCGGCCTCTCCAGCTGATACCCTTCCGTATTCAACCACGCCGGGTCGAAAAGCGCGTCCGGCAGCCTATACAACAAATTCTGCAAATACGCGTCCTTCAAATACTTCGAGACGATCATCGGATGGAAATCGAATCCGTTCTTGAGCGCCGTACGGAAGATGAACGACCCGAGTGGCGAGAACGCATTCATCCTGAACACCGCGGTGTTATACTTCTGGTGGTACGACCACCTGTATGCGAACGCGCCCTTGTACCCCCACAGCTCTTCCCAGTCGCGAAGGATGATCATATCGGCATCGAGGTAGACGCCGCCGAAACGGTGGGTGAGCACGAAGCGCGCGATATCGGAGAGGATGACGGATTTGCGGTCGTATTCCGTCGCGGACTGAGACCCTGCGTCGCCCTCTGTCCCGTTCTTGCCTTCCTTCACCGGTTCCTCATCGGCCTGTCCACCTTCCACAACCCCACCCGACGTGAACAGACGATGCTTATACGACCTCCACTCATCCTTCAGCTCCGGAACGCCATCCAACTGCTCCGTCGTATTCCACAGCTTAAACGAGATCACGTCCTTGAATCTCGGATGGAGGAACGGACTCGCCCAAGGGTTCGATTTCAGCCTCTCGAACATATCGTGCACCGCTGCCGGATTCGGCACCGCCCCCGCAGGTCCCGGATTAATCCACAACCAAAACCTCGGCCTGCAGATATTCGCGTCCGGGTTGTCCTCGTGCAGATGCAGGTGTAGGTTCTGGGTGAAGAGGAACGAGAGCAGCGCCATGTACGGTTTGTCCGTGAACGGCCCCGCCCAGAACATATGGAATATACGCGGATTTTCGGGGTCGCAGGGCGTGGAGAGGGTGCTGTAGGGTCTGTAGGGCGTGGGTGGAGGGAGGACGAGAGGGGCTTCGAGGTCGGAGGAAGATTTGCGGCTGAGGTCGGAGGGGCTGGCTTTGGCGATGATGGGTGGGATGACGCCAGGTTGGCCTATGGGGCCTTCTTCGGAGTAGATGTATTTCATGTCGTCCCAGTTGCCGCGGCTGAAACGGATGTCGTTGTCTAGTCCGCCGTTCATGCGCAGGACTTCGAGGCAGTCACGAACGTACTAATTCGGGGACCGTCAAATGATGGCACAGAGAGAGGAGAGGATAGAGAGGTACCTTTCCCGTGCCATAATCGCAATGGTTCATAATCACATCCAAATCCGCGATACTGCCCGCCACAGGCCGTGGAGGGTAATGGACATCGGTTGGGTCTGCTTGGATGTCTATGTATTTGCGTTCAGGACCGTAGCCTGTTGTTTCGGTGATGGCTGTCGCGGGGCCTTTCAGAGGTGATGATATCTTGACGGCTTTCCGAGGTGGAAGGGCGGGGTTGAGTGGCGAGGAGGTGAATCCGACTTCTTTCGGGACTGCAAATAGGTGGTCATTAGAACTAATTCAACCACGGAGAGTCTAGATTAAATTGAAGACACTAAAACCGAAAGATACTGCGGAGTGAAGCTTTGCAGTCATGCGACGACAGCTAGCTGACGCTGGATGTGGCGACTGCACCGTCATGCCTGGAATGCCATAGAGAAAACCGGTAGACCGACCAGCGTCATCTAACTCACGTTCATAAGGAGAAACAGTTGTACTTCCTATGCAGAGGCCAAAGCTCAAGATCTGGAGTGCGTCATTCGCTTCGACGTGAAGGTTTGTAGGCCGCAAGCCTAAGCGGCTGTGGCGTAAAGCAGCCATTCGAGGCATAACAGTTGAATTTCGGCAAGCCCATGAACCTCGATGGACCTAGTTCGCAGACTACAATAACTGCTAGCGTAGGGGCTATAGTTCCTAGTACGCTTGTAAGGGCTCACGAGCCACAATGCTGGTTTTCGTGACAGGCAAGCGGAGTAAGAGTGGCATGCAAAGCCGGTCTGGCTAGTTACACCGACCCAGAACAGAGGAAGCCGTGGCAGCACGAGTGAAATGGAAGACTCACTTTCACGCCGTGAAGGGTAATGACCGCTCTCTACCTCCCATTTCCATATCTTCTGCAAGTCTTCCCTCGAATACACTAGCGTCGACGGATCCCGGAACGACAACGTCGTCTCCCCTCCACCTATCCGATGTGCCAACGCATAGATAATGAACAGTCCAAAAACCACTCCGACGAGGACGAGGACGGAGCCTCTCCGTCTACCAAACTTCGTGACGGCTGAGTTGTGTATCCATGGCATGTTGGGAACTGGGATTCGTAACCGGCGTTTTGGAAGGCCGGGTATAGGAAGGTAGACGGATGTTGTCCACGTCGACGGTGAACGCGCGTGTAGTTTCTCTTGGACGGCGGAGGAAAAGATGGGGAGGCCGTTTGGGGAGCGAGACTTTTCGCGAATGGCTCCGATGTTGAGTCGTGGACGCGATGAGCCGGACATGGTGGACTGGACGAGCAGTCCGCACAAAGTGGGATGGTGTGAAGAAAATAAAAGGCGCGACTGGTAAAATACTGCAGAGACATGGTGAGCATAGGCTGCATAGCTTCACTAGACAGCTGCTGTACTGACTGCACTGCACAAAATCAAAGCGTGATGTGGCCTATAGATCCTAGACTCGTATATCTAAGATGTGAACAATGTCAGCAACAAACATGGGATCCGAATGACCACAGATGCTGGCAGACGTACCCATCGACAAAGCGGCTACGTGGAGGTTGTGGGGAGCGTCAAAGGCGTCGACTGCCGACGCCAAAGACGCGCTCGTTACGCGACTGGGCGCTTATGTAAGGCGCGCGTCTGGGGATGCCTTGTAGAAAAATTGTCCCGGCGGACGCTCTTCACGCTCTTCCCCATCCTCCTCGTCCCGACCGTCGTCCCTCAGCCCATCCCTTCCTCCCCGTCTTTCTTCATATCTATTTCTTATTTCTTCAAAAATGTCGCCAACGCTTGCAGTCAAGGGGAAGGAGTCCGGTACGGCCCGTGTTCTCGGGTCGGGTACCTCTGGTACGTGGATAGTCTCTTCGTGTGTGACTCACTGCATCCTTTTATACCATACTGACTATGTTCAAATCCATGGTCTGCATTTCTGTGGATGATTTTGCTCTCCGTCATCTTAAACATTTCGGATGGCAGGTATCGCCGAACTGCTCATCTTCCATCCCGTCGATACCATTGCCAAACGGTTAATGTCCAACAAGGCTAAGGTGCGTATATACCTCATGAGTGCCCGTATTCTGTAATACCAATACCCTTACTTTCGACTTGTACACTAGTTCTCGATGTCTACCATGCCCAGCATCGTCTTCCGCGAACACGCCACCGCACCTCTCAGCCGCAAAATGCTCTCCCTCTTCCCCGGTCTCGGCTACGCAGCGGGCTACAAGGTCTCACAGCGGATATACAAGTTCGGTGGCCAGCCGTACTTCAACGACGTCCTCAACCGAAACTACAAGTCGAGCTTCACCAACACGTTCGGCGAGAGGAAGGGTAAGATGATGATGCAAGCCACCGCAGGAAGCTTGACCGGTATCGGCGAAGTCGTACGTTTGCGCCGTTTTCTGTATATGCGTTCGCTTGATTGACTTGTTGATGATCGTGATTCCCAGGTTCTGTTGCCCCTTGATGCGCTCAAAATCAAGCGTCAGGTGAACCCTGAAGCGTTCCGTGGCCGTGGCGTCCTCCGGATTTTCGCTGAGGAGGGTACAACCTTGTACCGTGGATGGGGGTGGACCATGGCTCGTAACGCTCCTGGATCATTCGCTGTACGTGCTGCAGCCATTTACTCTTCCCTTCAACATATCCTTCGTCTTCATCTCGCAGTACCTCTAACCACCAACATCATTACAGCTCTTCGGCGCTTCTGCAGTGACAAAAGACTACGTCCTCGGCGTCTCAGACTATCACAAAGCTACCTTCTTCCAAAACTTCGTCGCCTCCGTCGCAGGTGCCGTCGCCTCCATCACCGTCGCCGCGCCCCTCGACACCGTGAAGACCCGGATCCAGAACGCGAACTTCGAGACGAAGGTGAGCGGCGTGAAGGTCATTTCCGACATGTTGAAGGAGGAGGGCGCGAGTGCGCTGTTCAAGGGGTTGACGCCTAAGGTACGTGCGGTATAGTTGACTGTTATTTTATAGATGTGGGCTGACAGGTTGTCGGCCTTTTTTCACTATTGTAGATCCTTGTCGTTGGGCCTAAGCTCGTGTTCAGCTACACCGTGGCGCAGACGCTCATCCCCTATTTCGCCAACTACGTCTAATGGGAATGGGTTTGATTCCGCTCATCCTCTACTGCCACGTCCTCGCACACTTTCTCCCTGGGTCTTCCTTGCACCATCTATACATTATTCCTTCTATTGCTGCCTTCTGCCTCCCTTGAGCGTCTTAGATCTCCATTCTTCTATAGTACATATAGTCCATTGCACCAACTGGGGCTCTCAACAACCCTATCCCTCGCCCCACGACATTTGCTTCACTTGATTTTTCCCTCATCACACACATCACCTCTTCACGCACGCCATCGCACTACACATTCCTCAACGCCCACACTTCACACCACTCATGAGATAAGCACTACGATAAAACTTAGAAAATAAGGCAGGATTGACGATGATTCAGGATCTTTGCTCGTTTGGATGGATCCATTCTGCGTTTGAGAGACTCTGAGGATCCGATGTTCGATCCTGAGTGAGGCATGGCGTTGACAACGACGTGAGGACATGATGGGCTGATCGGTGGACCGCACCATCGGTGTGGCGTCACTCTGTGGCGCTTATGTGCGTAGCAGGTGCGCACGAAAATTATCAGACCTTGACATCGACGACTCGAACACCATATCCTACTCGCTCTCCGCCAGCATCGCCTTCAAAGTACGTTCAGGCTGGTCCCAATGCGCCTGTTTAGTCCCGAAAGAAAGAACCAGTAACGCCAACCGCCATGAGCATCTTCGCTTACATCTCAAAAAGAAAAGCGAAGACACTCACGAAGTGATTCGCCCCACTCAACCTCACCACCTCCACCTCCCTCATCCTCCTCCCCGCTGCTTCAGCCTCCCGAATCTCTCCCTGCATCGCCCACATCCCCCAAGGAACCTGCCAAGCCGACTGATCGCACCACAGATACCTGATCCCTACATCCCTCCACCCTCCACTCTGTGGTGACGCCCCATTGCTCGTATGCTCTTCACCGTCGAGGTATACCGCTCGTTCCCTCAGAAGTGCGTACAGCCCGTGTTTCTCCCCCGCACGTACCACCACATCGTCCGACCCTCCCGGTGCGCCGGGCGGCGTGAACAATCCCGCGGCAATTTCGTTTTCTGACATCGTGAGTATCGTAGGCTTCGGATGGTCGAGCGGTGTGCGGCATTCGAGCGCAGATGGGGAGTTCGGGATATAGGCAGAATCGGAGCCAGAGCCAGAGCCAGGGGAAGAGTCAGACTCGAGTGCAGGGTGGTGATAGTACCCGGATACCCAGGCTGGGAAGATCTTGATGCCTTCTTCGGGGGTGAGGGAAGGGTCGCTGAGGGGACGGTAGGGATTGGGAGGAGGAGGATAGCCTAGGGCGTGATAGGGAGGGTCTACATTGAAAAAGTTGATGGTTGTTAGCAGTAAGTTTTCAATGCAAACGAGGTGGGCAGAAAGGGCAGAAACATACCGTATAGAAGGATGTATCTCACGTACTCTCCAAGGGATGGCGGATCTGCATCCTCCCGAAGAGGGAGAGAGGACGCGTATGCTAGAATCGCGGTGATCCAGGCCGAACCAAATGACCAACCGCCGACTATCATGCTCCGCGGGGCAAGCTTCTCCTCGCGGGCAAACGCCTCCAGGAAATCGTACAGTTCCTTCGCCTGCTCATTCATGTGCTGCTGGATATTGGCACGCGAGTCATCGTCGTCCGAAAGTGATTGGTGTAGTCTGCTATGCTGATCGTCGGTGAGAGGCGAGGAGCCGGGGTAGTCGCGGCGGTTGAGGAGGATGATGCGGATCCCGTAGGACGATGCGTGAGGAAGAAGTCGAGCGAAGTTTCCTGGTTACGATTTAGAACCATTGAGCGGGGGGAAATTTGATGAGAAAGATGGAAAAATAAACGAACCGCCGTGCCATGCAAATCCGTGTATGAGTAGCAGAGTGACGTAGCTATGGCCAGTATCAGAAGGAATGCCTGTGTCGCAAACACCAAATGGACCGTGCGGAGTCGTGGAGAAACCGACCATAGTCAGGCTGGTGACTGACTAGACTGAACCAGAGCGAGCAAAGGACGGGTCCAAAGGCTGCTCGGGGAAAGAGACTGCGGTAGTGGGAGTTAAAAGAGGTGAAACCCCTGCCTGATAGCGCAAAGATCTTTTTGAGATGGCTTTGGCGGCTGCGCAATTTAAACACGGAGAACCACTAGCAAACGCTGAACGTTATCACGAGTACTCATATACAAGGCGCATATATGCGGTTCCATAGTGCGGCGAGTAGACCTGAAACATGCGTGCACTCGGGAATATCGTCGATTGGACCATGGTGGAGTGATTGATGGTTATTTTGGTGTATACCAGTTGGCTCGACTCCGTTATCGTGCAACATCCGTGCGCGCAGCGAAGGTCAGACGTGAGAGCCTCTCGAGGATTGGCAGTACAGAAAGCTGCGTCTGATGGAGCTCCTAGTCAAACAGAAGCCCAGAGCAAAATCCTTCTTGATGATACAAGGAGCCATGGTGTAGCATTTGACTAAGCACTATAGTCACCCAAGGTTTGTCGCGGAAGTGTGTCACCCACATCAGAGAGCATGGCTCTCGGCCTCGAAGGATCACAGTCAAATACCACAGAACTGTCCCCGGAGCCGCTGGAAGAAATAAGTAGGAGATGATGGTGTGGATAATGTCTTGATAACGATGACCACAGCATCCATCTTCGGTGGCATCTAGCAGAAGGAGACATGCCGAGGCCAGAGTCAGAACTCTATCATATTGCTCGCCGACCCGAAGCAGAGGTACGGAGGCCAGATGGCGACAGCCTGAGCAAGCTTCACACTGTGCGTGGCAATGGTAAGCTTCAGCAATATCAAATGACCGAGCTCTCTTACCTGCAACGCTATTATTTGCCGTTCATTCACGCGTGGTGGTGGTTTTTAGGAGAAGAAGCCAGAGGGTGGCGTCAAACTCAAATGAGGAACCTCGAGCCGGCAACATCCGGATGATCAAAAGACTCCGCCATGTTGGTATTCTCTTTTCTGTCTTTCCTCTATCATCCAAATTTTGCACCTACTAGGCTGCTGCAACAGTAGAACTGTAATACGTGATATCTTCAAATACTGTCTCTCTCTAGGATACCACGGCAAGAAATGGGTACCTGAATATCGTGGTCGTCGCATTGACGTCGGGGAAAGCGCGGTTTGAATGGCTGTGAAATCGCATTTTTGGACACTTCTTGTGCGTCTTCCTTCGAGGTGTCTACGAGGATTCTACTACCTCCAGGCCCTGTGATTGTATGCGAATCTTGTTGCTCGCGACTTATAGTATAATACGGTCTTGGGGGGTTCTCACATTTGACTGTCTCCCCACCCTCCCTGTCGTCGCTCGAGTTGACATGATCATCTACTCTGTGGCTGTCGCTTGATAACTCTGATATGCTACAATTGACCGAAGCGGGCTTGATCTCGACGTCGGTGCAAGCGATTCTATATGGTGCGTCGTTCTCAATACTTAGCAATCACAATCCGGAGCGTTATACTAACAAATGTTTTCTACAGGCTTCTCTGTTCTCATGTTCATGCTGACGTTCTGGATCCTTTTACGAGGCCAGAGCAAACAGCATCCAAACTATGCACTCATTACGGCGGCCTGTGCTCTCCTTGTCTTGACCACTGCAGTACGCAGACGTTAGAGCAATAATGTGTATGGAATCATCACCGACCTTTGCGCTTAGGAGATGGTGGTCAATATCATCCGCATTTGTGATGGTTTCCTTACAGTTGGACCTTCACTCCCCGGCGGACCCGTTCAATACTTTAACGACATCTCTCAACGCACCTTTCTCATCAAGAGCTGTCTCTTCAATACGCAAACACTCATCCTCGATGCTGTAGTCGTAAGTAGTACCATGTCTGGAGCGGCCATGTTCTGTTCGAAGGACGATGTCATCCTTTATCCTCTAATTGTAGATTTATCGAGCCTACATCGTCTGGAACAATAGGCTCTTGGTCGTGGCACTCCCCGTTCTCGGGTGGATGGGCCTTTTCGGTAAGTGTATATTGTCATTCTTTTTTACGCCACTCTAACCTCAGCGCTTTGCAGCTTGCTCTGTGGGAAATAACATCGCACTTGGGACACTTCCACAGGACACGGACAATATCTTCGCCAATTCGAAGGCGACCGGAGAGTGGATCACCTCGGTATATGCTATGACTCTGGCGACTAATTTGACTGCCACCAGTGCGCATCCTTCATTACCTTAAAATCCCAGTGTTGATGGTGTCTTCTGTCCAGGTCTCCTTGCGTTTCGCATATGGAGAATCAACCGCTCGGTGGCTCAGTACCGTACCAGAGACCGGCTCTCCCCGATACTGCGAGTCATCATCGAATCTGGAGCCATATACTCCGTTACAATCACGGCCGCACTCGTCACCTTTGTGGTCCAAACTCCTGTGGTCTATGTTCTTCTCGATCTGGTATGCCTTTGCCCATGCATCTCGCTCAAAATCCGTAACAAAATCCTTAACTTGCTTCTCACTAATCCTACAGGTCTCCCCTATCATTTCCATCGTTTTCAACATGATCATCATCGGTGTCGGCATGGCCTCCGACCGACTCTTTTCCAGCCACCAGGTAACGACCGAGCCAACAACAACCGACCTCCGCTCCTTCGAGCGTGCTCAACGTAGTGGCGGCGGCGCGTTCCGCATCAATCGGATCGGGGCGAACGGGAGCGTCGACGGCCATGAGTTGAAGTCTATTGCCGTGCATATCACCGAACATCGCGAGACAGATGCGGATAGGTATGCTGGCGCTTGGAACGGTGCCGGTTGTCAGTGTGACCATGATGGGGATACAGATACAGAGGCGGAGAGAACGAAGAACCAAGCCCATGAGGTAGACGTTGAAGAGGCTGACACTCCAAATGTTTCGCCTACAGACGTTTGAAGTATGTTCTCGTTTCTTTCCCTTTCTGTCCTTCCTTTTGGATCTGCTCTGCATACGTTGTATGTCTCTGCTGTCTATATAGACCTCACGTTTCCGTGTCGCGGCATGGAAGGAGTTGTCGATGACGATTTATTTGCACGGCGCCAGGACATCATTTCTACGCTCCCAGAAACATATATCGATTGCATCCTGCTGTCACCAAATGTAGATCGGCTTTGTCCGAGTGAGCTCGGAGCGTGCAGAGCACGAAGGGCCTGGCTCCGTTTCTGCGCGTGCAGAAGGCTGCATTAGAGGGCTTGACGATTATAGCATGTGCTGCGTTGCGGTATGGTGGAGAATAGTTCCTCAGACTTCACATATACCTCTGGCTCTTGTTTGTTCAGGGAGCTCATGTGCTCAGTGCAATCATGGGTCGTCTTGCCTTCACAGAAAGCTGTAGTGCTCTCGATCCATGGTATCACTGTCTCCCGCTCTTCTGCTGCTCGCGCGAATACGATTGGCACCCGGTCTATGGCTCGGTTCTTGCCCTCAGATATCGCGGAAATGTCGTCAGTTACAGTAGTCTCAATTGGATTGGCTCGTGAGGCACACTGCAAGTCAATTCACTACCAGCTATCAATACGTCTATCTTTCTAATGGTTGGTATTTTGAGCTTTCGGGATCCAGTGGATACCCTCATGCGGTTGAATAAGCGCAGTGAGGCACCGCCTTTCAATCATCGTCAGTATGCTGCGGCTAAATACCGGAAGTGTTCATAGAGCTACTCGGGATATCCTCTGCTCATAATACAACTGTACTTACCTAGTGCAAGAATGCCGGAAGACAGACTTGGTTCTGATTATCCGTTCAATCTCCATATGTCCATGGGCGAGGCTTTCCATTCGTCACTATGTTAGGGTGCATTCGGCAACCGAGAGCGGCAGATTCTCACCGGATTTCCAGCCACGGATTTCGTCCTCGGCGGCTGGCGCCGAGCCTTCTTCACACTCCGACACTGTCACGGTGGCTACGTGCTTTCGCCACCTCTTATGCGTACCATAACGATAACAGACGACCATTCCACTTTCTCGCATGAAGGCTTTCTGAAGCAGACAATCCCTACTCTGAAATGTTTGTTTCTTAATTTCATCTGCAGAGTCATGTTCTGCCGTGCGTTATGAGTCGGGAAGTACGTGACACTGACTGGCTCTCGCCACTTTGCCTACTAGCTTTGTCTGCCATGTGGCATCGCCCTCCCCTCATCCAGCATACGCTCTGGAGCCCTGATGATACCTTAATCGCGTGCTATAGTGTTCGTGATGAAGATTTGTGTACGAAAACCTCGGTTATACTTACACGGAGCCCTTCCATCCTTGAAGGTGGCAACAAGGTGGCAACCAAGTGGCAACAGCTAGTAAGTAGTACCTCTAGCAAAAGGTCGTGTAATAATAGCAATAAGTCATAATATAGTCGTAAGAGGCAGCTCAAGAGAGATGTCGACAGTGCCTCAGATGTCTTGCTTACCTCTTCCTCTACATTTTGTCACTGTTGATGTTTGTGGTCCCATAGACTCGAAATCATACTGCAAAATTAACAACTGTGCCTTGATAGATCTGTCTTCGAGTGGTCACATCGTAAATATGCATTTATCTCTGAACGAGATGCTACGATTGGTGGTCTAGCCAAACGACGACGACAAGACGACGAACTCGCGCAAAGGTGCCACTGAAGAATGAAGTGGCAAAGCACTCCGGAGTCACATCAGTCACGCAATATGTGCGCGGCAGGGGTCGGCAGGCACCACGGCTGCCGAAGAAGCCACGAAATCCGAGAATCCAGATTCTTTCGTTTTGGCAGGAGAATCCGCCGGAAATCAAACCGCTCTCGGTTGCCGAATGCACCCTTAAGTGAAAACATGGTGTAGCCTACCATACATAACTGCAACGCTCCGAATAGCTTTAGCATGCGTTAGACAAGCAACACAGGACCAGTCACGTCAATTTTGGACGACTTGATCATTTAACTCGTGCTCTATCTTTGACATTGTGGCCCGGTACTTAACTGAAAGGGTTTGCTTTCATTGACCTTCAGGATCATTCAGGTCAACATCAGGTCAACATGAAGTCATTCTCTGCTCTCATCGCCGTCGCTGGCCTTGCTGTTCAGGCCTCAGCTCACTGTATGTCTTTCAGTAGGTCAAAGGAGTATTCACCTATATTCCTCATTCTTTTGCGACAGATGTGTGGCCCCAGCTTATCAGCGGCGGTACCACCACCGATGAATGGGATTACGTCCGGTATGAGGTCGGCCTAACGGTGTCAGTTTTGGTGACTAACGGATACCTTTTCGCGGTTCAGCGAGACCAACAACTTCCAGAGTCTTGGACCTGTACGTCCTTTGCTTGATCTCTCTGGATGTGATCTGAACATGCTCTATTGATTGACCAACAGATGACCGATGTCACCTCTACCGACGTTCGCTGCTATGACTCCACTGAGTCGGGTACGGCCTCGACTCTCAGCGTTGCTGCCGGCTCTACTATCGGATTCACCGTTAGCGGTAACCCTGCTAACCTCTACCATCCGGGTGTACGCGCTTTCCACATCAGTCAGGACCTCTGCACATCGACCTGATTGGGGCTTTCTCGAACAGGTCGTAAATGTATACATGGCACAGGCTCCCAGTGGTACTGACGTTGCAGACTGGGATGGAAGCGGCGATGCCTGGTTCAAGGTATTGCTCAACAGATTCTGGCTTATTTTACGCTATTCACCTGCGCCGCACCTGGTAGATCTACCAAATATCTGCCGTTACAGATGGTGGTTCAACTATTACTTTTCCCGCGACTGGTAAAGCTTTTCATGTCGTGTCAGCTTGCCCTCTGCTCATCCGGAGTGATACTAGGAATGTCCTCGGTTACTTTCCCGATCCCGTCCGAGCTTCCGTCTGGCCAGTCAGTACTTTCGTTGATATATTTGACAGTATCTATACTCACTGGTCGTCCGATCCAGATACTTGGTCCGCATTGAGCACATCGCTCTCCACGTGGCTCAATCATACGGTGGTGCACAGGTATGTCTCTAGCACCTTTCACATTACGTCGGCAACAGCGTTAAATATTTCCTTTTTCTGTAGTTCTACATCGCCTGTGGTCAAGTCGAGGTGAGTTGCGCTCTTTGTACCACTTTTAAGAGCGCTTCCATCCATGCTGAATTCGCCTCCCCCTGCCCAGGTCACCGACGGTGAACAAATTATTCTCCCGTCACCTCTTGGGCCTCATACTGAATTCAAAACTCCCTTCTTAAGGCGGAAGCGGCACACCCGGACCTCTTGTTGCCTTCCCTGGGGCTTACACTGTGCGTTAAATTGCCATTTCTCTGTATGGTGCCTGATACTGAACGTTCTTTCTTACTGCAGGGATACGTGAGTCACATTATAAAGCTTTGAGTTCTCCAACTGTCTAACAATGCTATCACCACCTTTATTTGCTGCTCCAGGAGCCTGGTATTCTGTGAGAGTTCACTTTCCTCTTTCCTTCTCGCAAATATTGAATGGATGCGCTTCCCCATATGCAGAATCGATATCTACTACCCCATTCCGGCCAACTACACTCAGGTACGCATGTCTACAAATGCATACCCATGAAGAAGTGCACGTCTTGCTGACTTGAACATTTTACACAGCCCGGCCCTGCAGTGTGGCCTGCTTCCTAAACGTTGGTACTGCGGTCATGCCACTGGCCACAAGATGCCTTCGAGCACTACGAAGTGATAGCTGAGAAAGACTCTTTCTTATGGATTGGTATAATGGGCGACAGGACGTGTCGGCAACGACTACGATTGATGTACGATGGTTTCATCTGTGTCTTACCGGCTTTCATGTGAATCAACCTTAATCAAGTGTGAACTTGGAGAATCCAGTTCGAAAAGATATTCGCCAGATATTCGCACAGACCCGTGGGAATATGTGCCACACCGTCCCTTGATCCGGGTTAAGGTCTCTGACTCATCGACTTATCCGTGTTTTCTGGTGACGGAAGACCACGACGTTCGGGATCACCTTGCCATCCTTTTCTACAAATACGATGCTCGACCTCATGGTACGCTCACCTGTCTCGCTGTATACATGGTTCATCGTTCAGGCTACTGTGCGGCGATCTGGCCTCTGGGCAGATGACCAGGGATTTGTATCTTGTATTTCAGCGCTTCAGGCAATTTTATCGATTCCTTCGTGCTTGCAAAAGGATCAGTGCTGAGCGCCATCAAAGCATCACCCTTGGCGGTGGCTGCGCTGATCCTCGTTCGTATTCGCCAGGCGTCTGCTCGAATGTAGGCGCTAAGGCGAATATCTGGCGGCGAGCTTGTCTAGGGGACTAAGTACGAGCTCGCAGATCATTCACATCCAGTCTAAGGTGAGGTTGGAACTTCTCGCCCTCTCGCCTTCGAAGAACCTCATGATATACCATCTGACGTCGGCTGACTGGCTTCAAGGGCTGCCGTTGCCCGCAGACTTGTGCATGAGGGTATAAGAATCATAGTGGAGAGGCGAAGTTGGGCTCACAGGGCTCAGCTCATCATGGTTTCCTTCAACTCTATCGCTCGAACGACACTCTTGGGCGTATTGACTTGGGGTGCCCATTCTGCTCTCTGTCAATCTCCAAGGCCAACGGCGAGCGTGACCAATGGGACTGTCGTCGGTGTCGAGCTGCCTACTTTCAACCAGGAATTCTTCGGTGGAATACCCTTTGCCCAACCACCCGTCGGGGACCTTCGCCTTCGACTTCCAGTCAGCATCAATTCGACCTTCCCGAATGGCACATTCGACGCGTCTGAATATAGTCCAATTTGTCCCGGTCATGGAGGAGATGACGTTGGGTGTGTTCTGTCTTATACATCCTCTTGTGTTGATGCGACTAATAACCTGCCGTCAAGATATTCATTGGATGAGGACTGTTTAACTCTGAACGTTTTGAGGCCCATGAATATTTCAGCTGGAGCCAACCTTCCCATCATGCTGTGGATTTATGGTACGGGTGTCTTTTCTCCACATACCACTGATTCTGATCCGTACGCTTCTAGGTGGCGGATACGTCATGGGATCGTCCAGAGATACAAGATACAACCAGAGCTACACTGTCAGCCGCAGTGTAGAGATGGGTACGCCCGTTATCGGTGTCTCAATAAACTACCGTGTGTCCCACTTTGGATTTATGAACTCTCGACAAATATTCGATGAGGGCCTCAGCAATATCGGATTATGGGACCAAAGACTCGCCTTAACTTGGGTACAAGAGAATGTGAATCACATGTCTATTGCTTGTGCCCCTTTACCTACCAACTGACGGTCTATATTCTCAGATTGCGGCATTCGGAGGCGATCCAGCTAAAGTGACGGTTAGCACTCTGCTTCACTGTTAGAGATGTTTCGTACTGTGAAACTCATTACTTGAAGGTCTGGGGCGAGAGTGCCGGTGCTATGTCCATCAGTATGCACCTCATCGCCTTCGGAGGTTCGGACGATCCTCCCCTATTCCGCGCTGCAATCCTCGAATCGGGCACCCCTACTACTCAGAGCTACGAGACTCCCGACCTCTACCAGCCTGCATTCGATAGCTTTACCGCATTCGTAAATTGTTCAGATGCTCAGGATGTCCTTGCCTGTCTTCGCGCCGTGCCGTACGACCTGTTCTTCGCTGCTGGGGGGAATATTTCTACCGCCACATCAAACTGGGAGCCTATCATCGATGGTAATTTTATTCCAGCCTTCCCAAGCCAGCTATTGAAACAAGGCAAGTACGTGAACGTCCCGATCCTGAGCGGCGCGAATACAGATGAAGGGGTTTCGTTTGGTCCTGGGGGCATCAACACTGAGGACGAGCTCATAGACGCTTTGTTTGGTATGGTTCAGTTATATTCAGTTACCAGCTCAGCTACAGCACGCTTATAGTACGATGTCGTAGCTACGTCATTTGGATTCGCTCGCAACTCGACATTGCGAAACTTGTCCAGTCTCTATTCATCGGACCCTACAGACGGGGCACCGTTTGGAACTGGCGACCTTCCATCGATCAAAAATGGTTCGCTCGACAAGAAGGCGGACGCCATTTACGGCGATATCATGATGATCGGAACCCGGAGGAACCTTGTCGAAACTTACTCGAACACGACAACTGCGTGGTCTTATCGCTTTGACCACCTTCCGGAGTACTTGACCGTCCAGGAAGGCGTGGGGCATTTCGTTGAGAGTACGTTCAGCCCTTTCTCTCCTATAATCTATTGTGACCGGATTTCTTGCTGATACTGGCTCGTGGATCGTTTCCCAGCACCTTTCGTCTTCAACAATCCGCTTCCTCCCGGCGTTGCCCCGACGGGAACTGCCAATCCGCGAGGCAACTCGACGGACGACTTGTTCCTCGGATTGACGATGCAGTCCCAATGGATCAGTTTCGCTGTTCATCTTGATCCCAACTTCCATGGGGGTAAGTGTTTTTGTTTCATCTTCGATGCCGTTTATCTAATCTCCCGTTCTAGTCGAAGGCATTCCTTATTGGCCTGATTACGCGAATGGTACTATGAACATGGTCTATCACAACAGTACGGAAGGTATGCTGCTCTGCGCGGTGTCTGAGCATTGTATTCTTGCTCATGATCACATCTGTTCTCTTTAGGTGGAACGACGGTGGAAGTTGACAACTTCCGACAGGCTGGAATTGCCTTTATCAATGAGTGGTCGACGGACTTTGCTCGCTAGTGGTGTAAACCTTATTTGAGATGTCGACCAATGCATTCTATTCGTGATACTATTCCATTCTATGCATGTCCCGTACAGCTGCTATTCCCTTAGCGTTGGAACATCAAAGGTCACTGTGACCCGATCACGTTCTCCCATAGATAATAAATGCATCGATCTCAAAAAGGAATTATCTAAGTGCGCCAGCGACATCCACTAGGCTTTTAAAGGTCATCAGTGCAGAGTCTACTAAGGGTCCCGTCCACCAGCATGGGCGATCTTCTTGTTCCGAACCTGGACTAAATTCGATGGAAGATATCTCCCTAGATTGCAGTGACCATTCCGATGGTGCAAAGTTCTTGACGTTGAGAACTAGTCGACTCAAGAGAAGGTTTGGAATGCTTTTCCGCCAGGGTAGAAATCCAGGCGTTAGTCAACCACTATCGAATGAATTCTGCCGGAGACGTTACCTCGAGAAGAATGGACCGCCGATGGTGGAAAAAGCTGCTGTTGCGGACGGGGTCTGTTGTTCATGTGTCATAAGATGTATCGCAGCACAGCAAGTGAGGTACATACATCTGGACCATTGCGAGATGACTGTGAATATAGAGCGCGGTACTGTGAGTCGCAGCATATCTCTTCCGAGGAGAAACTAAAGCTTACTATTGCTACGCAGACCTGCATAACTTGAATAGCCAGCATTGCACTGGAGTGGCACGAGGTATCAATAAATTATTTTCCAAATAATTCATGAGTATCGCATTCACAAGAAGCATATTGCACCTGCACAGTGTAAAAAGGGACTGAAATCAATCAATACCATCACAAGATGTCTGTTCAGCTACTCACCATCCCGTAGAAGAAGATGTGAAATACTCGATGTTCTGAGTAGTGACTTGACTAGTCGCGATTGCGAGTATGTCTTGTGGATCGTCAAGACAAATATGAATCCGTTGAAAACGAAAGCAACGATAGGTAGAGCTATATTCACTATCGAGTGGGACTGGTCAATATTTTGTATGCCAAGCGGAGTGCAATCCCTTACGGCTGTACCAAATCAGCTCCTTCGATTGTTGACCGATCGAACCTCAGAGCACTCACCGTCTCACAGACTGCGGCCCATAGGTTGTCAGTCTACAACTCGAAATGTGCGCCAACGAACTCCCATTCGTTGAAACGCTTCGTACTATGATGGACTCCTGGATTACATCAGCCAAGGAAGATGCTAAACCAGTCTTGATACACACGAATATGATCATCGCTAGGCGAGCCGCCACTAGTGGAGCAGCGATGGCGATTATCCATTGAACACGTTCATTGATAGCATAAACACGCAGAATAGCGAGAGCTGAATGTGAAATGACATGAGTGACGAGCCAGAGCGCGGTAAGCCATGCTCACCTGCTTCAGCTGAGATAGCGACGATGTAGGCTCCGCGAGACGCCCCCTCAAGCGCCTCACAACTACTCGCTCATTTAGCGGAGCATCGAGCACTAGATCAAGAATAAGACCCACTGTAGATCTGAGCTCTCTCCCCGGCGAGTCGTGATCCATTGGAGAGAAAGACTGAGAAGAGTGCCGTATCTGTTCATGAAGTACAAGGCTGAAGTGCTAGTGAACTTCCTGGACCAGATTGCATCGATTTCTTGAGGCACGGTCTGTATCATATCTACAATCCACATAGCTGGAGTGGAGTGGAACATTGGATGTGAAGGAGACAGTAGAAGATCAGCGTCGTCGTAGGGTCGCAATGTCAAGTAGGTAAGACAGCACCTAACGCCGAAGTTACCGCGTAGCTGTTCAGGAGCCTGTATGGGTAAGCCACGCGTTGAGAATATCATCGATGCTTATGGGAACAAAAATTGAGAGAAATGAAATACCATATTTCGTTCGTAGGAGGGACGTCTGCGGAGAACGATGGCAGAGACATGCAAGAAAAAGTAGGAAGTAGCCACGTCGCATGAGCTGCCGCCCCTACCTTTGTCATGTATATACGATCTACAATTGATTAGCCTACATGAGTACCGGCGGGGATAGGTCAGTACGTAGATGCTATGTAGGCAAAGGCGTTCTCGGATTGCCGAGTGGGAATATTATGTTCGACCTGAAACACCGTAGAATACCGTGGACCATCAGACACTGGTCACCCTCACTAGCCAAAAATAGTTGTGTTCCTCCATGTTCTGCGTGAGTCATGAAGAAAAGGCGTAGGAATGACCTATAGAACTGGAGCAGCGGACTAGACTAAGGGAGGGTTGACGCCTGCGAGAGATATTACTAGGATGCTGAGCATCGGCAAGTAAGTATATGTTTCATAGAGCATAAGTAGGAGGGAATTCTTTCCGTTGTTATAAGGTGCAAAGTTTCGATATTTTGCAGGCATGTACGCGTTGTGCTTCCTCCCTAGTGGAGTAGGATGCTATCTTCGTTCAATGGTATATGTACGAGTATTGATTGTGTCAGAGGGGCGTGTCGGAGTGACGTGGCCATTGTTGAGACGTACCGGCTTTCGCCGTTTCAAATATGAGGCACCCTCCGGCGAGGGCCGGCGACGCACTTTCCATTCTTATTCTTTCCTTTCTTCCTGAAAATTCTCTGCTTGACTGTAGCTGGAAACACCGACGACCACAGGCTACTGCGAGGTGCGGAGTGTATCCACCGAAGGAATGACCATTATTACAATTGCGCATGAGTAAACTGCAAATCTAACAAGAACGATGTTATCCATGAAGACCTGCGCCTCTACGTACGCGTACTCTCGTTTTCCACTCCTTTGTCCGTAAAGACCTCCTCCGTTCCCCTCGCGCCGTCTTATATGCCCCAGTTTCTGCATATTTCAAAGTTGCGTATCTACATTGATTCGTTGCCGTTCGAATTGCAGTCCGGATAGAACATTTCGGCGAGGCCGATCGCCGTTCTACGTACATACTCCACACGACGTGTTGACCTGTGTTGACGTCACCCCCTTCATCCCCTCTCGACTCTTATCCAGTTTCTATTATCTTGAATTTCGTTTATCTTCGTTTGATGATCCTTCCATTTTAGGTCGATCGCGTCTACCTGTCACTGTCAAATCTGCCTGACTCCTGCAGTAATCCCCGCCGTAGACCCACCATTGTCTACCCGAAGACGGAAGGACGAATACATGGAACTTGGACGTGCCTGCCGAGGCCCGGCCTAAGTACGCTTACCGTATCCCTTTGGCCACCGCCTCTTGTCAAAATGATTCGCTCTGGCTTATAAGCTAGAGTTCGCGCCGCTCGTCTCCTTTTTTCTTTCCCTCGTCTGCGTTTCCTTTCACGCAACACCATCACTCTCTTCGCTTCTTACTCACCCCCTTCGAAAGAAACAAGATAGCCATGAAGTTCTTCGCCTCTACTACCACCGTCACTCTTCTCTCTCTCTTCCTGGCTGCAATCTCGTTCTCCCATAACGGTTTGGTATCTGCCGAAGCTCTCGCTCCCCGCGCATCTGGCAGTCCCTCTTGCACGTATTCGTGCCCGACCCTCAATCTCAATGGAAAAGCGATCGATACCGTCGCTAGTTCCACTACTACTAGTGTCAGTTGTCTGTGAGTTTGAGCCCTTTTCTCTCGTAGAAAGTGTCCGTTCGCCTGTGCCAGCGAGGGCTTGTGGTGTATTCATAGAGAATGTATTACTAACTAGATTCCCTTATATCCACATATTCAGGTATAAATCTGCGAACGGTGTATGCACGTACTCTAAGGTATGTAGCACGCATTCCTCCTCTTTTGTTTACTATAGCTGTATCTGTCTATTTACACGACTTTTCTGCGTTGGTGTATCAAATCACTGATAATTTGACTTTGACAAACACGCAGACCAGTGGGCTCCTTACCAATAGCGCCAGTGGTGCCCCGGCTTCATGCCCCACGGTCGGGACGAGTTCTTGCACAGCGACGAGGAAGCGTACGCCATTGGACGAGATCGTTGCGGCTAGGTCATGGAAGCCAAGGTCCGCGAGGAGGTCTTCGAGCGAGTAGATTTTGGATGGATGTGTTGTCGCACAGGTGAGTACCGGCCTAACACCATCTTCTCGATATTGTAGACATTGTTTGTTCAACTGTTGTCGTTCCGTCTCGCTAGTCGCGTCTCATTCGGCACTGCGCCATTGGCATAAATGACTCTCACTGGTTAGCGAGATCACGACGAGTCCGAATGCATACTTTGCTCGTGCTGCGAATACCTTTGTTGTGCTGTCCGATATCTTACGTTCCTACTTCTTTCTCTGGCCTTCGAGAACTGTAGCTCGTTTACGATACCCTTCCTATCTGCCTTGACTCCCGTTTTTCTACCGGAGTGCGAAAATGTACTCAGTCTATCCATGCTAGATGGTTATTACTTGAACTCCAGTACACTACATATCAGTTGCGTCGACTATGGAGGGAACGACTGGGTTGGGACCACTATATTTGCCGGTGTCCTTCGTCCAGCGAGATTCAGAGCCTTTTGGAGTACCGTACTGAAGACCTTCGTCAATTTCCACAGCAGGAATTAGTTGAACTGTATAATAGCATACCCCGATGGTCCGTCTCCGTCTACTGTGCTCGGATACCGGCAGTCAGTGCCAAGGCTTTCGAGCTGACTAACCCACAATTAAAGTCTAATGCAGACCCGCTCTACCCCCACATATCCCCGCTATATACCAGAGGAAGGCGCAGACTCAGATCTGTTGGCAAAAATTTGAAGCAGAGAGTAAGTATGATGTATGTATCGGAAGAGAGCGATACGATAAGGAGGGGGGCGGCATGCCGCTGAACATCACAGAAGCTACTATTGATGCATTGCTGAACTGGATCTAGCGTCTCACCAACTTTTTTTAGTCGCTGTACGATCAAATCCAGAAATCAATAACAGTCAATGACCTGTCGAATGAAGGATTGGACAATCAGGCACGCATCAAAAATTCCCCGGACAATGCTATCTCCGCGATTGCCACTGTACCGCCCAAGATCTGCATAAATGCCTTCTACTTACTCCGCGTTTGATTGTATGTGCCTGGAAAATGTCCAGGAATCTCTAATTATCGGAAACGTGGAGGTCGAGGTTCGTCGTTTACATCCGGTGCTTTCGAGCGTCCGACCAGGGCCACTCTAGAACGCGGTGCTCCCGACATGTCACTGTCGCTTTTGATTGTTGAACGCAACAGAGGCGACGATGCCCACTTATACATTGTTTTCTCTTCGTGAATCCCTGTTTCCTGAGTACACCGAAGTCTCCGTATCCTGTGCGAACGTGTATGCGTTCTCTTCTTTGGCCAAGACCCGAAGCTCTGAACGTTCTGACCTACCATTAACCTACCATCCCGGCGTTTCAATTTTGACATATTAAATATCGACAACTGCCATTGCCCTCCGCAGGGTACTTAGCCGACATCCATGTTTCGACAAATTCGTCTGCTGCAGCGGTCGACTATCCCATTTCGAGACTTCCCCTTTCCTCAGATAGCAAACGGAATTAGGGGGGAATAGGAGGAATCAGAGACGACTAGCTCGACTTCCTCCCGTCTCAATCGCCGTCTTTCCTTTAAACTGGCCCACTACACGAATTGACAGACTCCCTCGTTCACCATGCGCGCCTCATTCTCTCCCTTCATCCCTCTTTCGCTCCTCCTCACCATATTCTCCTCTCTTGCGGCATCGACCCCCACCGCTCCACTCCTTCCCCGCGCCTCGGGATCAGCATCCTGCCTTTGGGAATGTCCATCGGCGAACAATAACGGCGTCACACTGTATAGCAGTTCTGATCCGAACGGAGCATCTTGGGTTCTGTGCGAGTAAGTGCCGGTCACTTGTGTTATATTGAACGGGTTTCAGAAGCTGACCAGACGTGACTGTGGACTACGGTTATGCTAGGTATGGCACTCCTCCGAACTACGACACATGCCAGTATGCGGAGGTAAGTCGCCATGTTTATAAATGGTCGTTTATATCGCACATGCTTCTTTCGTATTTCCACTCTCTCCTGTTGTTCGTTTTTGCCATCTGTGCCCATTCGTCGCTCACTTCGCCCAATGATTAGTCTGGGCAGTTCGCCGGTATCTTATGGACCGGTTCCAGTGCCTGCCCCGACAGCGCAGTCCATGTCTGCCCAACCAAGAAGCGGTCGGCGCTCGATGATATTGTCCGGGCGAGGTCGGAAAACATCGTCTCCAAGCGCCGTAGGCTAGAGGAGAAGGCGTGAAGCAAGCATTGAACGGTTTGCAAAGAGGTTTATGGCGTAGACGGTGCGTCTCTTTCTCTCGCTGTATGTGTACTATGGCGACTGACCGCATGCATGCCTTCCACGTGAGAATTGCATAGGCCACCATAACTGTTCCTGTCCTTATAGTATCAGCAAGTCCATCAAACCGGTGCACCTTCGTCATCGCGTGGCATTGTTGTCTCACCCTGTTTGCGCCTTCGTCAGTGATAGCCCTACACATATAGAAGGTTGGGATGGACATACCTTCACGTCCTTCCCATCACCCTTCATAACACCGTTAATAAAGACGATATACTTTCGCTCTCGAGCTTTGGAGGAATATCTGACCGTGTCTGTTCTGCCGTCCTGACGTGCGAGTTTCATCTCAGATTATTTGGTGAGTTAGACCAAGTGGTCACCCCTTCCGGCGAGGAAAGCTCGATCATACTACTATCATGCAGCTCCAGGTTGCGGCTGAGATCTATGCGGACCTTGGTCTCCTGGTGTCGAATGGCTTCGTGAGCGTCAAGTGACGCGAGAAGCGTTAGTCGTCTACTGGAGAGCCCGTGTCCGTGCCGTGATACCATTCATTTGGAGCACGACGCTCAAGATTTTGATAGTGGATCGTCATGGAGAACATTATCGTACAAGAGAATATGTTATCAGCGTCTCACAAACCAAGCACAGTCTTCAGACTGTTGTAGTCCGGAGATCCCAATCCCGTCACGGGGTCCCACGAAGCCCTAGAGGAACGATCGTCAGTCCACAATTCATCTACGAGATTTGACACAATGAACGGTCTCACCCAGCCGAGAACCCGTTTGTCCCGCAGCCGGGGTTATTTCCTGTGGTAGAAAACGCAACAGAACCTCATCAGACGGTGCACGTGAATGTGAAAGAGGTGGACGAACGAACCTGAAGTGATATCATTGAACGCCTGTGGATTCGCATAAATCAGAGGATTCAACCACCCCAGTGGTGGCTGGCCAGCAGCAACGAGCTCATCGTCCAACATGGCAAAGACGGAGGCGACGCTAGGCGTCGAAGCGCTCGTACCGTTGACAGTGTACCAGCCTCCGGTCCATTGGATGTAAAAATTTATCGCCTGTGCCGACACATCAGGGAAACCTGTATCCATGCAGAAGAACAATGATCAGACTAGCTCTTTCATGGGTTGCCTTATCGTGAAGTCGCAGTAGACGAGAAAATAGAACGTACCGCGCCCGGTAGAGTTATAGAGGCCGTTATAAGTCCTCGATCCGAAGTTCTCCTGCCATGACGAAACCATGTCAGACTGGAAGGAAGGAACGGCGAAATATGTCGAGAAGCCTCCGCCAGAGAGTGGGGCTGCAACTTCGGGACCGACTCCAGTCGTTCCACCGACCTGTTTAACGCCACCCGGTCAGTGAGTATGCGAATGAGGTCAGGAAGACGGTGGAGACGCACAGATGTGACGTAAGGACATGTCGAAGGGCTACACATAGACCAGTCAGTCGGATTCAGCATGAAACTAAGAGGGCGATGAGTGTGTGGCGTACAAGGAAGGGACGAAGAATGTGCAGTCATCGTAATAAGTGCCACCGACACCGCCATCTCCAGAACTCGTAAAGGCAGTCGTACCACGGGCCGTAAGCTGAGCATAGGCGTTACACAGATTACTATAGCAAGGAAAATAGATATTAGGATTCTGGGTCAGAAAATATGACAAGGGCAAAACGTACTTCACGAGGTTGAACGCCAGCGAGGGCTCATTGAACGCATACCTACATACGGTCGATAAGCACAACTCGTTACTAGTGGAAGTGAATGAGTCGAACGTAAGACTTACGACGTAGTTAGAACATTCGGCACGACATCCTCGGCCAATAAGAAGTTAACCTCATCAATGAACCCCGCGATCCCATCCGTATTATCGTACCCCACCGAGACGAACTGGACGGGTACTCCTGTCGCCACTCCGATGGTATACTGAAGGTCAAGATCCTACAGTATGAGGATAATCGTCAGCGACGCTCGTCATCATACACAAGGACGAAGAATAAAACGAACCGCCTCAGCACCAGCATAATATATCGTTTGGTCGTCCTCTCCGCCGTCTAGTTCTTCTAGGGTATATGTCGCGTTGCTATCCATGTCGGGACGGAAATATGCAAGGAAAGCCTGTTGTTTGCGTGGTAATCCGTGTGAGTAGAGACGAGGGAAGGACGATTATACTTGGGCCACAAATAGAAAACAGGTCCTACCTGGAGGTCAGCTCTATTCGCATTCTCGTCGGTGAAACCTGAAACTGCCATGATGTTCGAAGCCTGCGTAGCCGGGCTAGGTAATAGGATGAAGACGGGCACCGCATGTCAGCACTGTCGACGGAGATCCGTTCATAGAGACAGAACTCACGTCCTTGGGATGTTGTACATCTCAATGAGACAAGCCGGTTGCATAGAGGTCCTAGACAGCGAGATAGTGCATTCAACAACTTGTCGGCAGCAAGTATCATACGTAGACAGAGAAATGGCTTACTCGCAAACGGGATCGACAGCCTCGGTGGTTGTGCGACCAGAAGCGCCCGTAACGGTCTTTGGAGGCGAAACAGGCTTCGCGCTCGTTTTCATCTTCGATCCGGTATTCGGGACCGGAAATCTATACAAATAAGGCAAGTAAAATACATCAGTCCTATTCATTCGATACGAACAACATAACCCAGAAAGAAACAGAAACTCACACAACGGTCGGATGCACGAAACTAACGTGTTCCTTCAAACTACTCGGCACCGAATACTGCAAAGTCCTGATCGCGGTCTGCCCAGTCGCTTGGTGCTGGAAGGTTGAAAAATCGGCGCCGAGGACGTCGTTAGCTTGTGAGACGGTCATGTTGACGGAGACCCAGTCGCCTGCGGGTGAGAAGAGTGTGGAGGTGAGGTTGTTGGAGGCGAGCCAATCGTTGAAGGAGGATGCAGTGTCTGTGGATGGGGCGACAAAAGCTTCGACCTAGAGTCATACACATAAAATGAGTTGATGTTCGAGGCCTGGCGTAGTAAGATGAAAAAAGAAGGCTGACCTGCTCCTTTGACAAAAACTGCCTATACCTCTCACTCCCTGGCGTGCTAATCGCATACAATTCGCTCTCCAGTCCCGGGAAATTGCTCTGCGTCAGCGCAAACTTGAGGCTCAACACTTCGTCCTCTGGTGCTGCTCCGACGTGCACGAAGCCGGAAGGAACGGAATCTCTACGCTCGTGGACGACCATATCACGCCCGGTCGTGGCTAATGGCTTGGCACATGCTACCGAGAGCAAGAAGGCAGCTGTGGAGAGCAGAGCTAGATGCACCATGGTGAGGCGAGATGGGCGAGCGAGCAACCTAAACTGTAAGAACACGAAACACCAAGGAAAAGCACATCGACGCAACAGAACCTTTATAGCACTAGTCCTACCAGGCTGAAGATCAAGACATGCCGAAAACTCGAAAGCTCGACGCATTGCTCTGATTCTTCGGAAGGACACCACTCGGGCCCTCTGACCACCGACAATCCTTCGTAATGGCCGTCCGCACCCTCTCAACGGATCCTAGCCACGACGCTCATATCGCGGCCCATAAGACCATAAAACGGTTCATCAGGCAAAAGCATATGCTCCCTTTCCTATAAAAAGCGACAAATAGAGTCATCCGACCCGTCCTTCAAGGATCGCCAACGGGTGGAACAATGGGCTGATGGAACGACGATACGAGATTCACGTTAGACACTGGTGACAAACGACAGGATAAATAATTTATAGCGGAGTAGTATCACGCGGCTGTCGCACAAAAGGAGTTGAGAGGCGACAATGCGGAGAGTTTGGACGCTTTCAACGCTTTTGCGGTGATTAGGGCTAGCGCTGACGATGCGTGCTCGTCGGGTGGTCGATACGAACTGCTACGACACCGTGCTTTCCGTGTTTTAAAAAGCCTGGATTAGGAAAACATGGATGTACGCAAACAATCACGCGGCACAAGGGAGATGTCATGATACGGCACCAGAACAGTGAGGTATACGCGTATCATGGATGATCCACCAGGTCCAAGGGCAGGAGGGAGAAGGAGAAGTTCGACATCCATCGCTAGCCCCGAGCAAGAGGTCCAAACTTGGACGCGACGGAGGAGAAACCAGCGTCCTCGGATATGCCTCGGTCCGGAGATTCTGCTGTCCTATTCGAGACTCTGTTAGAAAGGTAGCAACGAGACCATGAAAAGGAGGGCGGAAGGCCGCAGCTCACAGGGCCGAATGTGACTTGGCGAGATGAAACAAAACGTGAAAATCGTTCGAGTGGTGTGTCATTTGCACCCGCGACCTCGACGAAGCAGGGGCAGCTGTTGCCCGCGTCAGAGGAGACTGCGTTGGTGAGGCGCGCAACATGTTCGGTCGCTTCGATAACGCTGCACTTGAGACCATTGTGCCCAAAGAGGTCATCACGGTCCTTGAGAACCCATTTTGGGAAACACAGAAATAGACGCCCAATGAGGTGACACCAAAAGACGACCCAAGACTAATCAAACCACCAACCTATCGAGAGACAGCAATTGGAAAATGGGATGATGATGCGCTATAACAAGTCACCCATGTCGCCTGTGGAGTGTTGTTACAACCTGACGTTGGTAATGGCTTACGTGCTGGAGGTCATAGGGACGTTGGTTGAATCTCAGCCAGAACCGCAAAGTGAATATAGCCATTTGTAGTCAGAGATCTTCTGGAGGGAACATGAAGACAAGTCGTTGCAGTCAGATGGGGTTCAAACACTATGGACCAAGTTTCAGCCATGCATTTCGTCCACAAGAACGAAAAGGAGATACCACACATCCACACCACACCCACGGTCGCAGAGCAGATGAACCTTTCAATCCCTCCTCCTCGAGCTCCTCGATTCGTCACGGTCGCGGTCTCTTCGGCGATGCCTGTCCTCGTAGTCACCGTCCTTCCTCGAGCTACGCCTATCTCGGTCGCGATCTGCATCTATGTCCCTTCCTCTGTCCCTAACATCGTCCTTCCTCTGTCCCTAACATCGTCCTTCCTCCGGCGGTCATAGTCCCCGTCCCTACCATCTCGTCTTCGGTCGTCGTAATCCCTCTCCTTTCCCTTCTCCTTCCTCCACTCTCCGTCCCTGTTCTTATCCTCATAACTCCGCTCCCTATCCCGATCCCTATCCCTTGGCCTCTCGGTCTCGCTCCTCCTCTCATTCCTCTCCGGTGACTCTCTTCTCGATCGACTCCCACTCCCACTCCTATTCGTCCTCACATCATCTCCCTCCCGCTTTATGACGGGTACATACCGCTTCTCCGGCCTCCCCATCTTCTTCTTCCTCGGATCCCCATCATCGAGCACCTCCTTCTCCTTCGCTCCAATACCCAACAGCGCAGGCCTCGCACTCGGCAAGTACGGCTCCATCGCCTTCTTACCCTTCAAATGTTTGCCCTTCCCCGCCGGCCCGTCCGGCGTCCATCCCATTCCACGTAACAGCGCCGCACCGAACTGAGAGACCGGAACGCGCTCGTAGTCTGCCATAGTGGCGGATTCGGGAAGGATCTGCATGTCTTGCTGGAAGGCTTCGGTTTCGGAGACCGGGGTTGGGATGACGTCGATTGTGGGCTCGGAGGATGCGTCTTGGCCTGAAAGGAGAAGACGAATGGCGCGCTGATCTTCCGTCTCTGGCTCGACCTTCACTTCTTCCTCCGCCTTGACTTCCACCGTCGTGCTCGTTTCCTCCTCCATCTTCACGTCCCCCTCCTCCCCGGGTTCAATCTTCTCCAACTTGACCTTCTTCCGGACTTGTAAACCTCTCAACTCAGGTCCCGAATTGATGGTGTCCTTCGTGCCTAGTCCCCCCTGGGACCCATCGGCGCCAGTCATGGCTGCCGCGCTGGGAGGGACGTAGGTGGGTTGTTTGATGCCGCGACGCTGGCGGGCGAGGGCGCGCCAATCTTTGTTGGCGAGGGAGGGAATGACGAGGGGCGCGGCAGGTTTGAGGCGTTCGCCGTTGGCTCTGTAGATGTATCAAGTGATATATTCAAGGATTTTGATGGGGATGGGGGAGTGTGAGAGATAGAGAGAGGCGACGGGGATAAGGGCTTTTGTGAGTTGAGGAACTAGTTCAGGTAGAGAAAAGCGCAAACAAAATGGAAGGGGGTTCAGAAGGGAAGAAACGACCGAGTATGGGTTCTGTGTAGAATGAATGTCGGAAATGTAGAACAAGTCGAAAAAATAGCGTTGTCAAAATGAAGAAACACACACCGCTGTACCCCAAATTGATCAAACCCAGTCACGAGCTCGTCTTCCATCCTTTCCTCCTCACTGCTATCGCTCTCCTCTCCTCTCTCTTCATAAGTACGCGCTCTCGGCTTCGGGCTGTTACTTCCTGACCTCGAGCCGGCACCTTGATCCGTCAAATGACGAGGCAAGGCAGGAATCTTGAACGACGGCGCTGATGCATGAGGCGAAGTCGCTGCTGCGTCGCTGTCAGGGCCGGTGGACGTGGCACGAGAGGAAGAAGGGGTTGGGCGACGGATTGTAAAAGAGACTTTGGACTCTTGTTTGACGGTGGAAGACATCGTCGTCGTGAACGTCGTGCTTTCGATGTCGGTTACCGGACAAAACTCGACTAACGCGACGTTGGAGTCAAAGGTGGCACAGCCCACCTTCGGCAGATGCCGGTGTGGCGCTGCTTGGGAACGCCACTCATACGATGCATCGACTGAACGGTGAACGTCTACGATCAACTGCCCAGCACGAATAGGGTACTTATAACAAGGCATGAAAGACTCTATCTTGTTGATTTATATATATGCTCTGTTTGTGTTCAAAAGTATATGGTCCTACCGACGCTGACTTTGCACTGACTACTTATTCATTCAGTACCTCTCTAAACCCTCAAGCTGGCTTGACCAAAAAAGTACAGGAATGTGCCATGAGCTGCGACCATCCACCCAAATCTGGCAGCATTTTCTGACATTGTAAAATACAACGTTCTTCTCGTTCTGCAGAGTTACATCAATAAACAAGCCTTTTTCCGTAAGCGGGAGGCGCTCACCCATCAATATAAACCGCACTCATTTCTACTGCTGCTTCTCCTCATTCAGAAAATCTTGAATCGTCTCGACAATGACCATATGATTGTCCGAATGGTAATTCAACCCAGTCACGACGACAACCCCCACAATGCCCTCCACGCCCTCCACCATGATGGGCACTCCACCACCATCAAGTGAATACAGTGTCGACTCCTCGTCGCTCAAACAGGCCCACTTTGAAATTTTTTTTTCTCTTGTCGTTTGATGTCCTCCAACGTCGCGAAAGCGCACGCTCATATAGTAACTCGAGCGTTCAAACCTCAAAACGGTGTTCCGATTACGAGCGATCGAAGAGGCAATATTGAGAGTGATTCCTGGGCGTGTGACGGCTTGAAATACGGTATGAGGAAGGCAATGAGGCGGTGGGCTGGTGTTCCCAAGGGAGATAGATATGATAGCAGGGTTGGCGGATTTTAACGCTAGGATACGAGTGCGTAAAGCCATGCCGAGGGCGAAGGCAGTATCGGAGGTGAACGACGGGAATACGAGAGATTTCTCCTGAGCCTCGATCTTGTCAAGCTGTTGAGAGATACAAATATCCTTCAGTCGGGGGCATGGAGTCTTAATCAGGAAGCGAAGCATACCAGGGTGGGAGCCTGTAGTAGAGTGGTCATGATAATCGTTTACGAGGAATTGACGTGACTGTGCGACTAAGTACTAACAAAGAGATGTTATGAATCTACGCAGGATATAAGAGGGGCCATACTCGATAGGTACCTTGGAAGAAAACTGACGTATCCCAGAGTCAATCAACCTGTCTTAAATACTTCCCGGCTATGGACGCCACAAGAATTCGGGACATACAGCCCAGCCTCTGGCTTACAATTGTTCCACGAAGACATCGCACCTCGAGGTGCCTCGAGGATACAGCATGCATCTACGCCTATTGTGTGCTGCCCAGTGATACTGTAACTTAGAAGCATGGACATGTGAGGCGCCCCTGCAGCCGTGGAAGGCGTGTGGCACGACGTGACCCGAACTCCTGGCGTCGAACATACTGCGCGCCACACAGAGGTACTTACTGAATCATACACACATCCGCCTTGCATCCTAAAGCTGGCGGCAGACAACAAGAAACTCATTCGCAATGGATATGCATGGTTTTCGTCACAATATAAACGCACGGGTCCTATTCCTTCCCTACCACAATCTGAACACAAGCGTGACACCATCATGCATGCTCGGACGCAACTTAAAGACACTTTCGCGAAACCGATCTGAAACCTATCGAACCGCTACTATAAGTATCATGAACAACAATTGTCTCTTTTCAATTTCATGATTCCTAATGCCGATTCCGCGCATATTGCTTTACGAGACGTTCTGTATAAAATGCGCAATTATCAATACACCATAAGTATGTTTGGAGAAGAACTGGAAAAAAAGACAATAACATACATGATATTATGTTCATCCGATGATGATGTCCGCCTTCAACTCATGGCCCTCCGCAACCGTGTACTTCACCTCAAATTTCCTCCCACAGTCTTGCTCTTCACACTATAATCCTCCAACGTTTTCTCCATACGACCTCTTCGCATCATACCACTCCGGCGTGATAACGACCCCCGTGTCGTGCGGCACCAGCCCGGTCACGACGTCGCACCAGCGCGCATAGTTGTGCACCCCGAGCGCGACGATGAAACGTTCGTTACGGTCGGCGGACTCAAAGCGGAGGGTGCCGCAGGTGCCAGAGGCGTTCATGCGAAGGACTTGTTGGTCGTTGGGTTCGGTCCAGGCGCCGCCGCCGCCGTAGTTGAAGACGCATTTCTCGATAATTTCGAAGAAGGAGGAGGGGTTCGTCTGGAAGACGCGGACCGCTACTCAATAGCCAAGGACATTGGGCCAGGAGGGTACATCTGGTGCACATCTCTTGGCGAATGTTTTGTGCGAGGTAGTGCGAAGAAGATGAAGACGTTGCGTTTGAACAACGAGTACGCCTATGTAGCGACATGATCGTCCGTAATTTGCCGGTAAGCAGGGCCGTGACACCCAGAATCAACCCAGAATACAGCGCCGGTGACATGGTTGAATTTCATCCTATAAAAATCCCGCTCGACGGATTCACAGAGCTACCTACGTATTGTTCTGAGGAAACACTTAAGTATAGTGCTCACCTTATGTAAATCAACCTAAGATTCTTATCCCCCTCCGCGGAAGCAACGAACTTAATCGAATACTTTCAAGATCCACCCTGAGGGCCATCGTTAGTCACAAGGGTGCACGGGACTAGATTTCACTGAGCAGTGATTTGACCGAGTATCAAGAGCGAGAATTGGCCTATGACGTGGTAAACCGCAGAGACCGTTATACTTAGCTAAATATCGAGTAAGAATGAAATGTTTCTTTGGAGACCAAGCACAGTAGACAACTAACATCAGCAAGGCCGCATCTGGCTAAACCTAGCTATTTCGGTCTATTCGGTCTCCCGGGAGACCCGAATAGATGGTTTGACAGCATCTATTCATCATAGACCTGCCTTCTGGGAGGCACGAAATAGAGCACAATAGAGTATGATAGCTCCGTTCATTTCTCCTGTAGAGGATTCAGTAGAACATAGTACTCGACTCTTATTGGCCAGTTTGGATGGTAAAAAGTGATTTATTGCGGAAATAAAGTGGGTGCTAAGCATACTTTACATCAAACAAGATTGGTACATAGCAAGTAAAAAAAAATCGTAGCATCAAACCACAGCCTGGCACCTCAGTCACCAATAAACACAATCCCGACTTGTGCCCAGTAGCTACAAGTTCGAGATCCTGGACAACCTGCAATCAGATACTTACGTGGCTATTCGCCCGTCAGCCTCACCGTTGAGCCACGTCTCCATCAACGGACCCCGTAGTCGAAGTAGGTGGGAAATGCCGTGGTAGGTGAAGAGATCGACAACTGGGACGATCGGAATAGGCAGAAGGATCGGCAAAAGTGTGTGAGGCAAGGGAGGCTGTATGGAGAGCTGGAGAGAAATCAGCGATGGTTCAAAATAACGATGACAGAGAAACAAAATGGATAAAGATACAAAGAACGAATAAACATGCATAGGTGGTGGCGATAGAGGGACAACTATCCCATCGAGTGTGAATGGGGCAGACGAGATTGGAAGGCTGGCGCCGAATCCAATGATGGACTCGATATACGGGATCGGACGACCGAACCACGGACACGGACACGTGACGATTCCATCGGAAGTCTCGACGGACTCAGCGTCGAGCGAGGCTTCCACCTCTGCGGCACGTGAGTCAACGAGCGATACCGTCAGCAGCACCCTCCAGAGGCGATCTTGACTGTGGCGTCGGTAACGAAACCGACGAGTCCACCCATTCCTCGTCGTCCTCGTTGTACCGATTGTCGTTGTCCAGTTCACTCTGTGGTGGCGGTCGACAGCCGGATCAAAGTGCATCGATATGATGGGACAGGCAAGAGGGAGGAGTGGAGAAGATAGGAAGCGCGAGACGTACCCAAGAACAAACCACGTTCCCGCTAGAATAACACTGACCGTAATAACCGTCGTATAGTCCATGGCATCCTTCATGACAGGCAGCACCATCGGTATCGAGAAACCCACCGTCGAGAACAACGTCCACATTATATAGTTTAGATTGACCTGTGTTTCGCACATGCCGCACATGAGGAGCAGGGAGAGCAACCAGGAAGAAAGACGACGTACCGCCCATCCAAGAAGACCATCTCCCATGCAGAACGGACCTGGCTTGAACGTACCTCAGCTAGATTATACACGCACCTGATCACATCTCCCTCCTCCACGTCTTCGACCGGTGCCGTGGGTGACGTCGAGCACACACATGCAACGCCACATGCGCAATCATCGAGCCTGACCTGTCCAAGAAGATACCTTCAGTGAGTAAGTATGCAAAAGTATGGGAATGGGGAAAGAAACACACGCACCGCACGAAGGGTTCAGGAGACATGAATCGAGGCCATCACGCCGATCGGAGGTAGCTTGTATCGAAAGCCGGGATACCGTGGGGGAGGACATATCGTGGATGTGGCAGGTGGCCACTGGCAGCGACATATTTCTGGACGCGAAAGAGGAGGACGTTGTGGTGTTCGAGGGTGAAAGATAAAGGCGTGAGATGAGGGAAGAGAGAAAGTGGATGAGAGGCGCTTGCCTTCGAAGTTCGTCAAAGAGATCAACGGGATCACGTGTTGGTTTAGGGCGGGCGCGGCAGGAGTATCGTGAATGTAAATGACTCAAACCAGATTCGTCCCTCCCATTCTTGCCGCTCATCTACCCATCCTCGAATCCGAATTTCCGCTGCACGCTCATCAGTACACCGACAGCATCGAGCCTTTCGACGCTTATTTACCCAGCGGTTGTGAGTATCAGCACTCTCTTCTCCTGCCGTGTACGAACGCCAGCCTTGGCGTGGCGACGCACACCTTGGAGATAGCGATCCTTGCGTCCTCGCGAGCGTGAAAACGACGGGACGATTGTCGATGTGGATGCACTATTCAATTGGTATAGGGGTGTGTGTGCGGCCTAATGGGTTGGCTGTGAGTTTCACCGAGGCTCGCCGGTACGTCTTCTGCTGCACGGTCGTTATGTTATACCACTCACCCCGACTGCCTTCCTACTCTCGGGTCAGTGCTCTCCCACCGGAACTGTGGTGCGACCGTATACGCACTAGTTCATGTCCGTAGAACATCGTTCTATGCAGGTATTCGGTGGTAGGTATACTTTGAGCTCTGACGAGTCGAAGTGAGGGGAGCATCCACGAGGATTACATCTGTTATCTGCCCTCTCATGTTTTTGTCTATGTATGTTTATGTACTGTCACGTGGGTATCTATCTTGTAGTACTCATTCGTAAATACTATGAGTAACCACCCATTCTCCACGAATACAGTGCTTCTCGTGGAGGTGAGACGGTCCTTTCGTGCTCTACCAGGCTCTACCTGAGCTATTGAATTAGGAAGTATCTATAGCGCCCACCGGGAATAGAGCGAAAAGAAGGCGTAGACCGGAATAGACCGAAAAGCTAGGTTTAGGCAGATGCTGTCTTGCTGATGAACCCATGGCCAGACTGGCTGCCATGGACGGGGTTGTGGGCAAGTTGCACTGTGTGACCGAAGGGGGGTGGATTTCAATATCACGAGCGGTGAAATTCATCGTTCGCTGAATTTGCAGCGAAACTTGTTTCGCTTCCCATAGAGCTTCAAGAGGATGGGAGTGAAATCCACGAGCTGTTACGCGAAGATTGCTTTTGGGGGCTATTGTGGCGTGTGGCAGCGGTGTGGGGTTATGATGTCATTGGCGGCTATGAGCTTCGTTCGTGATGCAAAGTCAGTCAAAGTAGCTCTTTGCTCTGTACCACCACCTCACCGGCTCGTCAAGGCTATGACCATGTCGTCGTCGTCGTCGTCGTCGGTGTCGTCGTCAATGTCGAGGCCCCCCTCGAAAAGTTCACACATTCTACTACATAAGTATCCACTCACACTAGGATGACAAGTTACACCACCATCACGAAGAGCGTCAATATCAGCGAGCCCATAACACTCTGATTGAGCAGACTGGAAACAGTGAGAATATTCGTAGGCACAAAGGCGTGTCTCTTTCTGTCTTTTGCTTCTCCATAGTCTTTGCTAACAAGACATCCTTCGGCTTGCCGTTGTAGCACAGGGTAGACATTTTGATTTTTTCTAATGACTAGTACTGGCCCTCGCTCTATTTCTCGCTGCCGCCTATTCATCTCACCCTCCTTTGCAACAGGAGCATTTGGTCTCCCAGCTGTGCTACACCTCCGTGTACGTTACCGTCACCAGAATCTCCGGCCTCGCTTTTATATATTTAGGCACACGTCAAAGGTCACCGTCAATGTACGTGGAGAGTTCAGGCTTCACACGGGTCACGAGCGGCATACTTTAGGCAATATGTATATTAGCAGTAGGATAATTGTACTCAATTAACATTCTCATGGTGTCCAAATGATCGAGAGCAGCAAAGGGAGGTGGTTCAGTGGTAGTGCTCGCAAATCACCATTACATTGATAGCGAAACACATCGTGAAACGTTTCTAAATGGTAGCAAATTTTCGCTCCACCGTTTCGCTCGGATGCTGGTGAAATTGTTATCCATGCAGCGAAATCCACGGTGTTTCTTGATGGACTTGACCTATTCTGCACTCAAAATGTGTCGTGAAAACCATGCTCGAAGAGGGGCTCAGTGTTGTGGGCATCGAAGTCTTGTTACGTAAGTTAACGTGAAATTTGTCTATGCCGCATCACGTAATAAATCTTATCTTATCGCATCCGGATTTTCAGTCGATAGCGCCCGTCCTCCCATCATCTCTTTCCAAGCCATCATCTCGCAAACCGCTGCGTACGTCCTCGGAATGCTCATCCAAGTTCTAATCTCTCACCCAAAAGTACTTCTGACCTGGAATATAATAAAGTGCTTAGCCCTATATTAGGTGACCCGCTGTCATGAGCCACTCTTTGGCACATTTTCGGTCGCACTTCGCTGTGCTGTGCTTAAGCGCTTACTACCTGATGCTGGAACAGTGGTACCTGGTTAAATGCTTGATCTATCGCACGCTTTTGATCCATTATCTGTGTGGTGCACTGGCTCAAGTACAGTAGGTCTTGATTAAGTGCATCCACAGGAGACTCGCCGTTACCCCAACATTGAGATACTAGTATCCAAAGGTACGCAACCCCGGGTCTTATCTGTACTCGTCCGAGAACGAGTATATATGCTAGAGGTCCGTTTCACGTGGATCTCTGGTATATTCTGCCGCTCATTGGGGAAACGAGACATGACCATAGAATGAGCCGAAGCTGATATGTACGCAAACTTCTTAGATCTGATACGCCGGTGCAACCATATCTGAGGGACTAGACTGATTGATTGACACCAGCGTTCGCCTTCAGACCCGAAGGCAAGCTTCTTTCTTCGGCTATCCTATCCCACAGAACATCGCATGCCATCCCCTGTAGTCAACGTATTTCCTTTTGTCTTGACCTCAGTAGCCTAACAACCCGCGGTGAACCGCCTGGCATATAAAGCAGCATGAGTGCGCTCTCACTGTTTTCTCCCACCCTCGCGTGAATCGCCTTGTTGAAACAAACCATAAGCATGATCTCTTCCCGCCCTATCTGCGTCGTCGCAGGCGTCGGTAATGGTTCCGGTACGTATGAGCTCTATGCACTCGCCACATAACACTTGATATGTGTCTGACATGTTTAAAACCAAATCCAGGTACTGGCGCGGCCACTGCGTACAAACGTCATTTCATTCTCGTTAGCACGAGTGCTGATACTTCCTCAATAGCCGCATCTTCTCTAAGGAAGGGTATCGGCTCGCGTTGATATCTCGTGACAAAGAGACAATACATAAGTTCGTGGAGGAACTGAACAAGGACGGGAGAGAGGTATGAACACGTAACGAGCTTCCAGGACCAAACTTACGCTGAACATCGTCCTTAATCATGTTACAAGGCTGCCTTTTTCCCCATAGCAGCGTATACCTACTCCGAAATGCACGCCTCCTGGGAGGCCATTCGAAAGCACTGGCCCAGTACCGAGATCCGTATCGCTCTTTATAATGGTGGTCATCTCTGCGTTAAGCCTTTCCTTCAGACGACCGAACAGGATCTCCAGGGTAGCCTCGACACACACGTCAACGCTGCGTTTTCCTTCTCCCGCGAAGCAATATTGTCATTTCTGGATCAGCCATTGAACGACAAAGGCAAACGGGGAACACTTTTGATCACAGGTGCAACCGCGTCGCTGAGGGGAAATACGACGACGTCCGTATTCGCGGCAGGCAAGTTTGGACTGCGTGCATTGTCGCAGAGCTTGAACAAGGAGTTTGGGCAAAAGAACATACATGTACGTACTTCAGCTGTCTACCTCCACTCTATTGTTTGTCCAAGATCTGCTGAAACAAGAGAGTAGGTGGCACACGTGAGTATGTTCTTATGGGTTAGATCTTAACGGCGCGCTGAGTTTTAGACCGACATTGGGTGAGTTTCCGTAGCACTCTAGGAGCCTTTCCTGATGCACAGAAACACAAAAAGAAGGCTCTCATCCAATCATAAATTGACGCGAGCCTCCGTTCTGTGCATCTGAGCCTCTAGAAGGTGCGTAAACCCCCTACGGAAAGTCACCCAATAGGCTATTATTGACGGGTGTCAGTAGCCTCTAAATATCCGAAGAGAATTCGTATCGAACGCTTACATTTGACTCCAGCCATCCTGACGGATCGTTCTCCCAAACAAGGAAGAAGCCCAGAGTGGCTCGAAGATCATGATGCTAGGCTCGAGCCCGAGAGCATCGCACAGGTCAGACGGTTACCCACTCCTTGATCTTGATTATCAGCGCATCCTCAAATATTCGACATGCAGGCCTATCTCTACCTTGTAAACCAGTGCAGGTCGGCTTGGACTTGGGAGCTAGATCGTATGCGCCTGCCCATTCTCACAGTCTTATAATCTAAACTAACGAATCCTTATTCCTAGTGCGCTCTGCCCATGAGAAGTGGTGAACAGGACGTAACTTTGTGGTGGAAATGGGTTCTGAATATGTACGTTAGCAGGCTATGAGGACGAGGCTTTACACAGACGTGCCGGTATGTGGCGTGATGTGCTGTGGCAAGCCATCCGGGCAAAATCAAGGATCGGAAAAGGTGTCTACTTCGGAATAGTTATCGCATACATTTCTCCATGCAGAAGCACGCAGTACGGTGGAAATCAGTCGTCAAACGAGCATTCAAGTTGTAACGCCACCAAATCACCCATTGCAGAGAAAAAACATCATCAGAAACTAGGCCACTTAGTGCGATGCCGTCGACCTCATACGCGTCCACACTCAAATATCCAAACGATGCCGACTCCTCGATAGTCATCCCCTTTCCGCACGATCACCTGTTTCACCGCATTATTCTCCTCCCACTGTTCCAACGTACTCTCAAGCGAACTGGACACCCATCGCCTGAGCGTTGTCCTCCGTCAAATCCGTGGTCTCGCCAGCGTCGTCGCCGTAGACGGACATGCAGTATACACGGGCGGTATCTGGTTGAATACACCGAGCCAGAACAAGACACAGAAAGAAGGTGTTTCGTTAGCATTGGGAGCTCACAGGCAGGGAAATGATAGAACTAGGCGCAGCGACGGAGGGGAAAATAGAATAAGGTGATGGAATGGAGGCGACGTGGACAAGCTCGATCTTTGGGGGCTGTGGACTGATGGTGAAAGTAAGGATGAAATTTAAACGAGAAGGACAAGAAACCCACCCGCGCCGTTGTCTCCGGGGCCACACCTAGTGGCGGGCGTACCCGAGACACCAACGGTCGAAGCACAGCTAGTCTCCCACTGCGTGCACCATTGTTTGACGTCCGAGCCACTGGGTATCTACAGAATGGTCAGAAGAACAGCAAGCATCGGAAGGGAGCCCCGATACATACCTTGACTTCACGAGTGATGGCGGTGGCGTAGACGAGCACAACAGCGGAAAGGGTGACGGTGAGGATGGAGCGGAAGAACATGGCTAAGAGGCTGCTTGTATTGAAGTGAGTTCGGTGGAGGGTTGGTGGTGAAAAAAGCACGACAGACGAGTCTACCTTTTATACCATACATCGTCTGACGGAATGAGATGACCGCCGCCTGAACTACTTATTGCAGTGTTGTGATTCATGCGCTGATTACAGCGCTTTTCACCTCAATGCGGAATCGCGCGTTTCGCGATTTCGTGTTGCCACATGCTCGCCACAGACGTGTGAGCTGACCAACTGGGACCCCGAACCACCTGGTAAGATCCGGCACTTGCACATGCACAAGGTCGAGAGAATATGATTGAAAAGAGCACCAAATTGGCCGTATGGAGTATGTAACTCATCTCTCTACAGAATCTGCAGCCATCAGGCCCATATTCAGGAGGGATCATACTAAAACATTGATGAAAGTTGTATATTATGTGATTGTTAACTTCCGACAGTGCTCCCTAATAGATATTGTCTCTCAGCGATTGCCTGAACCACAAAGATATAAGTATGGATGAATTGCGAATTTTTCGGAAGCATAACACAGTCGCTCTGGCGAGAGGAACGCCTTTCGTGACACTGACTTGCGGTGGCCACAGCAATGCTGCAAGTGGCGCTGATTTTTGCAACAGGGGTCCCTGCGCGGTGAGCTCCGATCTGCTCCGAGAGCCGTGGCGAGACTGTGGCAACACGAAAATTCGAAACGCGTTTTTCCGCATCGAGGTGAATGTCGCTGTAAGATCCACACCAGTTTCCGCCAGCGGAAGTGCTCATAAGAGGAAGGATGTCGCTTCCACCCGTGTGCCCACGAAGTAGCATAATTTTCGGAATGATATCGAATTTGCGGGGGGCTGTGGGGTCCGAGGCGTGTATCATAGCAATCCTAGGAGGTACTCGCTGGTCGGTCGAGATTATACAGAAAGAATAAATGCATCAACAAGGAAGAAATAGTATTTACTTTCACGAGTTCAGAGGGAGTAAACATGCTATCAACCAGCTTCAATCAATTCATGCAGACGCACCACACCAGTTTTCGAAATGGTGGACAGTCCCTGAATTGACGATCCTTGGTCAGCCAATGCTCGACCTCCATCTGCTTCCCTACACAATGAAAGTTGACGCTACTCAATGACCGAGGACATTGGAGGAGGAGGGCACACCTGGTGCACACCTCTTGGCGGGTGTTTTGTGCGCGGCAGTGCGAGGAAGACGGAACCGTTCGGTGCGTGCAACGAGGACACGTAACAACATGATCGTCCGGAATTCGCCAGGAGGACGGTGACACCCAGAATATAGCACCCTGCAGTGAAATGCTCGAACTCATCCCGTCAGGATAGCACTCGACAGAAACCTACCCGTGGCACTGATAATACACGCCCGCAAATCACCCACAACTTCGCATAGTCGACGAGCTTGATCGCATGGATGCACGGGACTAGGGAAAGTGTTTCGACCGTACAATTGCTTCGCGAACATTTCCGAACCAAGAAAACGAGAAAGGTTGCATTTACCGTCTTGGTCGCTCAAAAAAAGGGGTGACTCATTTGGCCTTGCCTTCGAGCATAGTGTCTAAGGGCAGACTGGATGACCAAACCCAGATGAACTCGAACCGCCAAGACGAGACGGAGACATCTGAGCGCGGGGACATACGAGACTTGAGCATATATCCGTGTGCCACTGATCATGAATTCGATAGAGGACGAAGAATAGGTGTGAATCGGAAAGCGACCGCTAGTCCAGAGGGACGTGATGAAGGAGAAAGCACTTCGAAGGCAGGTCTGAATATAATGGCATGCTGCTCAGACTCGGCGATCAAGGACCGTTGGGAAGACCTTCCGTGAGTATCCTGCGAGTAAGTCCGCTGACGGTGATCATGAAAACGGTAGGGGGTCGGACACGACCGCCATACCATTGTAAGCTTCATCGCGGCTATTTCAGAGTGGATCCTGTCAGTCAGACCAAGCTCAATCGAGCGAGAATGGCATGTGAATCGAAATGAGTGACAGGGTTTGTGCTGCATCAGAGTTTAGAGAATTTGAGGTACAAGCATCGAAGCGGCGCGAACCAACACCAGCAATGAAATAACGCACAAATCCTGGATTTTGTCAGAAGGCTGGCCGATTAGTCGACCAGAGGGGCATCCAAATTGTTGTAAGTATGAGTGGTGGAGAAGAATCGCAGAGACGACATCAACCTCGAATACTATCGATATCATAAGTTAAGAAGAGGACCCAGATGACTGTAGACGCACTTCTACATCACCTACATATTCCCTTCTCCAAATCTGCCCCAGTTGCCATCCTGCGAGTCCTCGAATTGGGACTGACCCTCATCTACCGACCTCTGTCTCTTCCCCTTCGGTCTCTCCACTCTAATCAACTGCCTCCCGATATACACCTTATCCATCTCATTCAACGCTCGAATCGCATCGTCCTCCGTCTCCAGCTCGATATGCACGAACCCACCTCCCTGCTTCGTCCACGGCCACTTCACATGAACGACTCCATACCCCAAAAACGCCTCTCTCAAATCCTGCTCCGTCAAATCATACACATTCCCCACAAACACACTTCGTCTCGCAATCTCCTCCTTACTCCCCACATGCTCTCCCGCCCTCCCCGTGCTGAACGCTTGCCTGTCCCTAAGCGACGCCCTCCTGCGCCTTTCTTCCATCAATTGTTCAGCCTTCATCTCCTCCTCCTTCTGCTCCTCCTCGAACCGCGCCTTCCTTTCCGTCTTATCTTGTCCCCGACCCGTAACCTTCGCCCAACTCACTCTAACCCTGCGTCCTTCGATCTCGGCCCCGTCCATCATCTCCACCGCGTATTTGGCGTCCTCAGGGTCTTTGTACTCGACGAATCCATAGCCTGCGGGTTGGCCGCGGTGGTTAGTGGGGAGAAAGACGTGGGAGATGCGGCCGTAGGGGAGGAAGTAGTTGAGGAGGTCTTGGGAGGATGTTAGCGTGAAGGGAAGGCCTTGAATGTGCAGGCGCGTGGGTTGGGATGGAGAGGGAGCTTGTTGGTACGTGGAATTCGACGGAGAGTCGGAGGTGGATGTGAACGATGAAGGAGTTTGCGATTGTGGACGGGATGGGAAGGATGGGAAGGCTTCGGGTAGGTGAGCGGGTCGTGCTTGCCCTTCGGATTGTGAATGAGGCTGGACGTTTTGCTCTGTTGATAATTTAGAATCAGGATACGGGTGAAGGATAAAATATGGATGCGATGGAGTTATAGACGGACCAATTTGTTCGTTGGAGGGCCATGCAGGACGGCTGGACGTAGGCTTCGCCCGAGATCTACTGCTGGTCGATGACTTCCTACACCTGAAATAGCAACATAAAGAGAGAGAAAAGTGCATCAATAGCTATGTAAATTGAGTGAAAGTACATGCCGCTCTGATCCTCAACGATTTCGAACACGAGAGACGCACCCGTTCATCTGGGCCTGCATGAGAGGATTCCATACGGAGAGGGTCCTACGACATCGGGTAGCGACGGCAAGACAATGCATCTCCGGTCAAGCAGAGAACGTAAAAATATCAGAGTATAACACGAAGGTCTCAAGGGGGGAGTGGTAGGAGCTCAAGGCGGCAGCGCTGAATTCGAAAACATTGCACAACTGGAGTGAACCCCAAACTTAAGGTTATGGTTAGATCCAGACGAGATAATGTGGCGCGCCACCCTTTTCCCTCTTGCTTCCCTCCCCTCCCCTCACATTCCGTAGCTCAGACATGTTTCTGCCTGTGATAGACCTATCATATGAATTGCGCTCTATCTATACACAAACCTTTGGTGGACAATGAGAAACGGGAGGACGGGACATCGTTCGCCGGCCCGGTCCTCGACCAGTTGACCACAGTGACCCTTCCGCTCTACATCCGGATATCCGTCCACGAATCCTGTCTTTCTTTCATTCCCTCGCCCTCACAAAGCGAGCTCAAGGTCATAGACAATGTCGTCCACAACTGAAAAGTTTGAATTCGTCGTCTACGCACCCGACTACACCGACGCCGAAGCCCTTTCACGCCGTCTCGCCGTTCGTGCTCAGCATCTGGCGAAAGCGCAGACGTTGCACGACTCGGGAGTCGTCAGTGCGTACCATATCTCCTTTCATCATATCCTTCCCCTTTCTGATTACACACCTGGCGTATGCTTGGTAGAGCTGGGCGGTGCAATGGTGGCTGAAGAATCGCTACGTGAGGAAGACGCATCGAAGAGAAAGATGGAGGGCTCCGTCATGATCTACGAGGCTGGAAGCTTGGCAGAAGTGATGGAGTATATCCATAACGATCCATATTGGGTTGAGAACGTTGTGAGTCTCTGCGTTCACTCTACTTCGTCGCGATGGGTTGATGACTGAGTACTGGTTTGATCGTGGTGTAGTGGGATAAGGAGAAGTTGGATATCAGGCCGTTCATTCGCCCAAAGCACTAGATATTCCAGAGATATTAGGGAACTACACTGCGTTCAGTGAAGGAGGAGTAGCAATCTGTATATGTAGGAACGAACGAACGAACGAACGAACGAACGAAACCCGTGTCACGGCCAGGGAACCACTATTTAGAGTGCTCTAAAGGTGATTCTAAAGCCACTTCTATATATTATATATGGACTCGGCTTTGGGAAGTACTAAAGAGAAACATTGGAGACCTCCAGAGGCGACTCTATGCATTTTCTTTAGAAATGCCGTACAAACGCTAAAGATTGACTTTGGAGGACGCTAAAGGCTGTCGAGCACCTCGGGCTTGCCTTATGTGGCAACCCCGAATCTCTTTAGCACCCTCTAAAGGTAATTCAGAGAATAATCAATGGAACTCACTATAGAGCTCGCTAAAGCTTTGCTTTAGAGAGCGCTAAATTGGCATCCATATATAATATTTCGACCAACGTTTAGATTCCACTTTAGCGGGCTCTAAATAGTGGTTTCCCCGTCGTGTGTACCACTTTCTCTACGAATTGTCGTGCGCCACACTCGGTTGTGACCTCCGGGTGGCGTTGCCCCTGATAAGATCCTAAGTTAAATTGAAGTCGATCACAGATAATCTTTAAAATTAATCGTCCCTCTTGAAGCTCTCGCCACATCAAGTTCACTGCCATCTCATTCTTGCCCGTCGTCATGTCTTCAGAAAGACCACTACCAACGTCGTCAACGGAGCTTCGTCGTCTAGTTGTTCTCATCTCCGGCTCTGGAACGAACCTCCAAGCTCTCATCGACGCTCTTCCCTCATCCTCATCAGACTCAGCAGACTCATCCAAACCTCTCCTCCCCCATACGATAATATCTCTCGTCGTGTCAAACCGAAAAGCCGCTTACGGCCTAACTCGCGCCCAAAATGCGAACCCACCAATCCCAACCGCCTACCTGGCCCTCCAACCCTACCTAAAACAAAACCCAGGAAAGACGCGAGAAGATTACGATCGCGAGGTGGCGAAGCTCGTCTGTGGAGCTCGGCCGGACGTCGTAGTGCTCGCGGGATGGATGCACGTACTCAGCCAAGTCTTCCTCGATGTTCTCGAATCATATACCGCTTCCGCCTCATCCTCGCCGTCATCCTCACATCCTAAAAAAGTCGAAGTCGTGAACCTGCATCCCGCCCTTCCCGGCGCTTTCGATGGCTCCAACGCTATCCACCGCGCCTATGCAGCCTTTCAAGCTGGCGAAATTAAACACTCGGGCGTTATGCTCCATCGGGTGGTTAAGGAGGTGGATAGGGGCGAACCGGTAGTGGTTAGGGAGGTGGAGATTAAGAAGGGGGAGAGCGAGGAGGAGTTCGAGAGGAGGGTGCATGAGACGGAGTGGGGAGTTGTGGTGGAGGGTGTGAGAAGGGTTTTGGACGAGGTTAGGCCTGTGGAATGATAGATACGCGAGATGGCGTTAGTGGACTACTACTAGTTGGAGGGTGGAGAGGATGGAATGGAAGGTACGGTCTTCGTTCATCGATCCTTGGGCTGTACTCACTGCTATAGTTCGTGCAGATACTAAATATGTTGCCAACCACAATTGTTGTATCAATATACACTTATTCAGAAGTTAAGACTGATCATCAGGTTACATCGACGCGGCCAGTCGCCGGCTGTCTGTTCGACTCAATCGCCCGTGAGTACTTGAGTGTTCGCTGTGGCGTTTGGTAAGGAGCCGAAACTTCTGCTTAACACCTCGGACTAACCGTGGACGTCCCTCGTTATGCACAGTGGCATAGGCTGATCGAAACCTTACGACCTGTTTATGGATGATTTTCGGCTTGACCGACAGCTGAAGCATACTGGCCACGGGATTGTAAACTGGCCGTGGATCTGTGGTCCCCTTGGCGTTCATCTGACGGTGAACATGTACAAGCTGCGGGCGCAATACACGTTGTCTACTGGTCGGACATCATCCTTGATACTTGCTCATCGTCATTCAGGGAGCGGCTAGCTGTGGGTCGGGATATCGAACCTGTCTGGAAGTGGGTTCAGGATAGAATGCCGACCAGGGATTTCGTGTCTTCAACGGCACTTGAAGCGTACAGGTCTGTCACGGGCTTTACTGTCATCGATGGACTTCATGGTAACTGCGCTTTTGTTGTGCTCAGTTGGCCAATACTTCCACCGGAGCAGTTCTGATTTATCCGTATTTTTCCATCTTCAGGTCATTGCAGCACCTACGTTGCTCTAAATCATACTGGAGTGTAAGGACGAAGGCCTTGTAAAGGTCACGCACAAACAAGGACACAGGCTTCGATGAAGGCCTGTTTGCTCAGTGCGCCGTGTCGGCTTTGACGGCGTGAATTTACTTGGTGCTGCAAGGACAACAAACAAGAGGTCGGTGTAAGGTCGGCGTCGAAAGTGCCCGATCTTATTGCCTGCCGTCGTTGTGGTTCTTGCTTCCATTGATCGGCGCATTCCGGCGGACGATCCATGTCGTTGATCCTCGTTGCATGAATAGCACGTGTCGGTCGTGTCTCAAAGACTCGCTAAAATGTGCACACTTCGGGCACTCGCGCACATGTATGTTTTCGGTTACTCGGTAGCGGGTAGGGTTTTCAGTGTCGTAACATCTTATTTTGAATAGCAGCCGACCTAGCATCATCCGTATAGGAGTTCTTCGCCATGAAGGAGAGTCGTGCGGGAACGGAGAGGAGCCCATTCCAATCTGGTCAAGGCAGCCCTTCCAGAGTCAAAGGTGTGGCGAAATAATTCCAGCTTGATTCTCGATTTCGGATGCTTACGCGATTTAAATGTCGGTTTTTGTCTGCAAGAGCCACCTACATAAGATCGCCGTACACCTCTTACTTCACAGCCTCTCACAGCCTCTGAACTTCAATATCCCTTAGAAGACTCTCAACGTTCTCCCTAGCTCGTGGGCACATGAGGGAAACAGCCTGAAACAGCCTCCCGCTTCTGATCACTTCGGTAACGGGGACTGGTGCGGATGATTGGCATCGCATGAACTCGCCCCGTTTTGCTATGAAGGTTCACTACGTTTCCCTACTGCCATTTTTTTGTCATCTTGAACGTTGGGCGATGCAGGGCCCTTGACGAATGGAGGCCTCTGAGTCGTATAAAAGGTCGACTGTCCAGCCGTACTTTCTCCATCACCTCCCATCCAAACCATCCATCCAAACCAAGCTCTTTCCAGCCCAATCATCTTTCACATCATGTTCTTCCGCTCCATCCTGGCTATCGCCCTTTCCGCTGTTACGTTCGTCTACGCCGACGACATCTCCCGCGACGTCGTGGTGTGCATCCTACTTTCCACTTCATGCCCCATCCCTCCGCTTGTCTGCCCTTTTGTCTGCTGTCGTATTGACTATCTAATCTTTCGTGTTGTAGGTTGCCGATGGCACGGACCTGACCCAGTTCTGCTCGCAATGGGACTCTACCTGTACCGACACCGTTGGAGTCTCGGGCACCCCGGCATCTAACTGCACGCCCGACAGCGCTGGTGGGTTTCTCTTCTACCTCATTCGACGTCTTCCTTCTTTCTGGGTCTCTTTACTCTTCATTCCGAACGCTCACGAGTCTCCCCATCGTGTGTGCTGTGCTCCGTCTTCTAGATACTGCCAGTGTCTACTGCATGTCCGTCTACGGCGACGATGCCGGCGAGACCACCGATCTGACCGAGGACAACGCGCAGGCTATGGGTGTTCAGTTCCTCTAAGAGTTGAATGCTGGATGAGTAGTGGATGTGGGCAGATGTAGCGGAGCAGGTAGTAGATGGTGCGGAAAGAGGACGGTTATCGAGTCGTGGGCAGTCGTTTGGACATTTAGTTATTTTAAATCCTAATCGCTTTCTAGCCACCTCCGTCCCTGAGTTATTGAATCGTCTCGTTGGTTGAAGGTTCCAACCGCGGTCTGACGACAGTGAGTGGAGTTTGAGTATTCGACGATCAACGGAGCCGTGTTTTCCCCTTTCGCGCTATGTGGACTAGCAATCCATGGACATGATGAGAACTTGACATTCGGATCGAACTTTTGTTACACGGCCGTCACCTACGTTTTTCGTGTACCGTGTGCTATTGGATTCTTAGCCCAGGAACCAGGCGGTAAAGTTTCAGGGTCTCTAGCAGGCCAAGTTACAACCTACATGCACTCAGAAGCCTGGTAGAAACACGGCGGTTGACTTTTGAGTTGAGAGCAGACGAAGGCGTGTGATGGCTGCCTTCAATTTGGGGCGAGAGAGAGAGAGAGAGACGAAAGATACTAGCGTATACGACAGTTTTGAACCTTGCACGACTTCCGCCGTCTCCTCACGCTCCATCTTCCGCCTCTGAACCTGTCCATCCATCCACTTTCTTCGTCCTCGGCGGCTGAGAGTTGAACTTCTGAGCGTACGAAACCTTGACGACATTGCTCCCCACCCTCCCCATGTGCATCTCCAACGCCTCCGTCGCCGTCCTCACATCATCAAAGACTAGATGCGCAAACCTCTCCTTCGTCCGCTTCACCTTCACCGGCCCATACTTCTCAAATGCCTCTAGCACCACTCTAGAGTGTAGACCCATCAAGTTATCGACGAAGAGCTTGCGCGACGGGGGATTCGGATACTGGGACTCGTCCCGCTGCTTCAAGATGCTCGCCTCGATCACCTTCCCGTCCATTTCCTTGCCATTCATCTCAGTTAACGCGGCGTTCATGGCGGTATGGCTCTCGAAGGTGATGAAGGCAAAGCCGCGGGGAGAACCTGAACGCCCATGACGGAATATTTCGACGTGAAAGACGGTACCGAAGTTGGCGAACTCGGTGCGGAGAATCTCGGGGGATTCGAGAAGTCTTTGGGGTAGCTTTTTGACGACGATAGTGGTGTTATTGGAAGAGGTGGTGGATGGAGAGAGATTAGAATCGAATTCTGAAGTTGGGGCACATGAGATTCGTGTGTTGAAGCTGGGTGCTTAAACGTACACACCTCCGGCAACATCATTGCGTACGAAGGATGGGGAGCTAAACGAACGAATGTTACCCAGCACCGACACTGTGTGAAGTTGCCTTGAGAACATTGAACGCATTGAGATGGGCCCCAGGCATAATATAATTGTACACGTAGGACGCACCTGCTGATGGCCATCGAGGTCACAGTTATGGCGGAGTGCATCACTGTCGCGCTAGGAGTGCTCAAAACCGACGCAATCCGGCGCAAACTGGGATGTCTAAGCACAGTCATTCCCAACTTATTCATGGAGTGCCTAGTAAGAACATTGGTGGGAAGCTGGGAATGTCTTCGTAGCATGGACGAGGGAAACAAGGAGTCTGAGACGATAGTTCAACAATGAGCGAACCGGTCGTGCTCGATAACGTGCCATCATTATGACATACGCAAGTTATGAACAGCTCCTCATAAGATCCTGTCCAGATTCGGTTACTGCCTTGTATCGTGCAAAAAAGTGGTACAAGGGAGATCCACCTCGCGAGCGCCGCCTTGAAATTGATCTCGCACGATTCCAGCTCCGCTTCAAAGATACCACCGCTGCCCACCCGGGCTTTAGCAAAGGCTTCACGATATTAGATGGTGTTTGAGCCGTAACGATATGGCTGGGGCTCATAGCGGTGTTGAGCGTGTTCGCACGTCGTTTATATAGCATGAGAAGTGAGTGGTGAGTGGGCATGGCGAGACCGAATCGGTATGTACGACGAAAAGCATGATGACTGTGGATTATGATGATGCATAACATAGAGGAGACGAAAGCAGCGAAGAGTAAGCACAGGGACGAGTATGTGTGCAAAAAGGTTGGGCCCAAATGACGGAAGTGACTTCCAGCCTACAGATGCGTTGTGCATGCGATGGTAGGTGGATGTGACGAAGGGATGGGGATTTTGGAATGGAGAAACGAGTACGGTATGCATGGCTAGGGAAGATTCGGGCCATATTGAGATATACTTGAGTACGACAATCAGTACCTGTCCCCACCACCGTAGCCACCGCTGCGTCCACCGCCACCGTACCCTCCACCACGTCCTCCACCACCGTACCCTCCACCACGTCCTCCACCACCGTACCCTCCACCGCGTCCTCCACCACCATATCCGCCACCCCTACCTCCAGAGTCACCGTCACGCACTCCGTAACCGCCACTTCTTCCTCCACCACCGTATCCACCACGTCCTCCTCCCCTTCCACCTCCATATCCTCCGCCGCCACCTTCACTCCTCTCCTCCCTCGGCCTGTTGTAGTCCGCAGCGATGGAGTTCCCGCCAATTTCAATCCCCTGTACTGCCTCCAAAGCCTTTCCGGCCTCCTCCGCATCCGCGAACGTAATATGGGCAAACCCATTCTCCTCTCTGTACCTCACCTGGACCGCTCCCAGATTATCGAAGACGCTGGAGACCTCCTCGCTGCTAGCACCATTCAAATTCCTGACGAACAATGTCTCAGACGGCGGGTTGCTCCTCCTCTGTGTCTGGGGGCGTCTCTCCCTGCCGCCGTCTGCGTTCGCGGTCGAATTCCGGACCGCCTCGGAAACCTCCACGACGCGTCCATCGAGCTCCTCGCCGTTCATCTCCTCGATGGCTGCTTTTACCGAGGCAGGGTCCTCGAAGGTGACGAACCCGAAGCCCATGGGCCGCCCGCCTCTCGCGGGAATGTGGGCGGAGACGACAGAGCCGAAGCGGCTAAAGGGCTCGGAGAGGGTCTCCGGGGAAGACAGGAGTGACCAAGGGAGATTTTTGATATAAATTGTAGCAACGGGGGCCGACTCGGAAGACGAATATGAGGTTGGGTTTGAGGGTGAGTCTTGGGAGAGTATGTAAGAGACGACGTTCGTAGGTGACAGAGGACGTGCATAGTGTGAATCGCGTACCCGAGTATTCATCATTGCGCACAAACTGTGTAGCTTGGAAAGAGCGAACACTGCTCGTCATCAGTGTCCTAGTAGTCACGTTTACCAGAACGAATGCGACTTTAGCAGAAACTTTGGTCAAGTGAAAGAAGGGACAAACCTGCTAACGTTTGACCGCGCGACGATGACGGTACGCATCGACGTGGCGGTCGCTGACGACGCTTTTATACCCAAAGCGCTCCTGCGCACCACCAAGTTCCTAAGCATACTAGCAGACATGTGTAGTGACGACTGGAGCAGTTTTCGAGGTCTGGGACGATGTTGTTGGATCTAACGGTAACGTTCAACAAGGAAGCGGGAAAGCGGGAAAGCGGGAAAGCGTCCGGAAAGACGAGCGTATTTGCGTACGCAGGCACCATCGCGGTCTGGTTTGTTCATGAGAGACTCACAAGTACTATCCGCGAGTTTTTTTGACGAGTACGACCTGAAGTCCGCTGGTGGAACTCAGAGTATGTTGTGGGGAAGAGGCAGAGGAGCGACGCGTCTGAGCTCGGAAAAATAAAATACTGTACGCGTGCTCGGCTGTAACCGGAGTGTGGCAATCCAACTTTAAATTGCCATGGTTGTGGCCCAACATGTCTTCCGTGTTCAAAAGTTATCTACACGGCTTTAACATGGCCGTTCCCACCAGTCAGCACTGCTAGTCACTCTGCAAGTTATGTCTGGATGGTTGGAAATGACTGATATACAGCCCAGCATCGGTTGCGGTATACGAATTACTTGAGTCAGTCTTAGTCGTGATCCGAAAGCATTCCTTCTCCCGAATTCCTCTCAGCGATGCCAAAGTTTGTCCCGAATCGAGCAGAGTTTGTCCACTTCCTCCGATAGGTTGGTCGTATTTCTCATTCGAGTCACAGCTTTGATGAGTTCAAATATCACCCATGACGCATGACGTGCACCTAAGTTCACGTCTTCGTTGCATGATACGGCATAAACACCCCACGCCAGCTAAGCGGCCAACAGCTTGTACTTATAAGTAGCTCACCCTAGCATCGACCTCCAACCTTCCACGCATCGCACGCACTTAGTACGCTCCATCCACCCACCAACACCAAATGTCACCCACTCGCATCGCTCTCTACATTACCACCCGCTCTCTCACACACCAACATCTCTCCGCCATCGTGCAAACGTTCGATATCGGAAGACCCGACTCTTCCCTCGATCCATATCCGGACTACATCCGCCCTCGCCTCCCGATTTCCCCAACATCTCAGCCAGGCAACTCTTCAACGAACTGGGCTTTAGATCTCTCGATCGAAGCAGTCTGGGCGCGCCACAAATCCGAGTATCGAGCCCCAGAAGCAGGGGAGAGTGCCGAATGGGCTGAGAACCCGATCGTCATAGCGGACGAGCGGACCTTGAGAGATGGGAGCGTCTTGGTTGTTGATAGAGTCTACGATGAAGAGGCAGAGAATGAGGTGTTAGGAGTGAGGTTCGAGCCTGCGGATGTGCCATTGACGGTCGCGAATCTGGAGATTGCGAATATGGATTTGAGCGAGGTAAGTACGGTGATTGTTGGTGGCGCTCGAAATTGATAAGGAGATGGCGTTTCGGTGCGTGGTGCTGATGTGACTTTGCTCTGTGGGGTTATGTAGTTCGAAGAGAGCGTGGGCGAGGACGGGGTGTGGCGCGAATTTGCTTGAGGAGGTAGGGGGAGTACTGGCGGCTGTAGTTGAAGGTAACAGTGGATTCCAAAGAGGAGATGCAGATGTAAAGAGAAGGCGTTTTCGAATGGAAGGATGAAAAATTGCTTCGGTGAACGCAAGGCTAAATTGCGGACATCGAGCGCAGGGTGGTTAGAAAAGAGACATTGGAAGTAGTAGGGGCCATAAAGCACGCACAAATCATTGCACCCGTTTATACCGCATCATGATCAGTCTACCCCCAATTTCTATCCCACCGCCGAGCATATTCATGGCATCCATGGCTTCCTGCACTGTCAGGAAATCCACGTAGGCTCTTCCCGTAAAAGCGCCCTGATGTCTGACTATCTTCGCCCCTGTGAGACTCAAGCCCTCTCTACTGAACGCGCGGAGGATACTGTCCTCGCTATCGTTCACACTCAACCCATTAAGGTGGAGTGATTTTGTGGGCGCTAATTTCGAAGCTCCTGGATTATTGTAGTCCAAGGATCGAAACCGTCCTTGGATCGCTACTATGCCACCAACGGAACTCAGCGCCTGCTCAGCTTCGTAGATACTACGGAAACCAACATTTACAATCCCCCGAGCGGTAGAATGATATCGGATGCCATAAGTTACCAAGGGAGCAAGACCGTCCCGCTGATATATGCGCCGTACTTCGTCTACGACCTTGGCTTGGCTCTCCTCCGTCCGCGCAGGCAGCAAGTCGCAGACAATGAGGACTCTTGAGGGCTGTGCGGGTACAGCGCGAAAGTCGACCCATATTAGACGGCCATCAATAGATACATCTGTTGTGGATAGTCTCTCCTGCGCGAGGATCGCATCCTGCAAAGTATCGAATTGCACGAGGGCAAAAATCTCGCATGGAAATTTCGTTGGCCCTCCGGCTGCCTCTTTCTTCAGAGAGAGTAAGACGCGCACAGGAGACGGGATACTGTAGGATTTCAGAGATTTTAGAAGTGATTGCTCCGGTGTTTTCTGCTGGGAAATGAGGGACCTGGGTATATCACCGATGAACAGTACTTTCGACGTCGGCGGGGAGGACGAAGATACGCGAGGAGTCGAGCTTCGTGGTCTATGAGGGAGAATTTGGATCTTGAAGGCCGTTCCAGGTAGTGGTTTTCCTTGCATCGCGTGAATGGCCTTTCCTACGCTCTTCGGCTCTCGGAATTCCACTAACACCCTCCTCTCACAATGCACCTGCGCTGCATCACCTTCCGTCAGGAGTCCAACATCTCCAGATACAGTCTGTGGTGGGAGAGAGGTTCCGCCGTACGTATAGATGACGGAAGAACTTCCCTTTCCGCGGAGGACAATGCGGGAAATAGACCCAAAGGGGGAGAAGAAGCGGTGGATGTCCCTGGCGGTGTATGTCCGAGAAATATTCATGATCCAAACTGACTTCGCGGGGTCAAGTACCGGGTCGGTTGTTCGATACGATGAGGACAGTGCATGCTCGTCGGGATTCTCTACTGCCAGGGTCATTTATTGTCGAACACATTATAAAGTTAGGAGAAGGACGAGCGTACCAGAGGAACCGTCCACTGTGCCTGAATTGGCTTGAATGGCTGAAGCACTGCTATAGGACGCCTTGCTACGGACATGATTTCCTGAACATGCCACTGATGCCAATCAATAGAGGGGGACAAGCAGAAAGCGTGTGAACGCACCGAGGTCGTCTATACCCTTTCGCACGCGCAGGCTACTGCCATGCTGAAACCTGATCATTCCATTCCAGAGAGCAAGTCGTAACACAGGCGAATAAATACACAAAGGTAGTCAGCCTTGTAAGCAATTCGATTGCTCGCGATGGGCGTATTGACGAACCTGAGTTGTCCAAGATTACCTCGACGATGTAGCGAATCGATAGAATTCACAATAGTAGCTGCTCTCCCAGACACCAGTATATTCTGGGGCTGGAACACGTTATGGATTGCCGGTAGCTGAACTGCCGTGGGCAGAGGTCGACAGCTGGTGAACCGGTACATTATCGATCATGCAGTCCAGCAAGAGAATCGCGACAAGGTCTTTGTTGGATAAGTACTGCAGAGTTCAAGTAGATATACAAGCGTTCAGGCTTATACAAAGCAGCAAAACAGTCAAAGCTTCTCTATAAACAGTTGCCAGTGAGGGTATGTAGGACTCTGGTTATCGTGCTACGTAGATAGAAACGCTGTTGACTTCGGATGGCCAACCCACAATAACACCTAACCCCATGAGCTCGGTCCCGAAGTATATCTTACGCCACACCATTATGTGGCTCAGTGCAGCCCTTTGGAAACAAAAGCATCGCACACGACAACCATGAACTCTTCGGTTAAGTAAATCCTTCCAGTCGAGTCAAGTACGATCATTTCCTCGAGTTCAAGTTGTCGAGTCCCCACCCTTCTCATCAGAGTCACGGTCACGATGATGCGGCCCTCTTAACAAAGGGCCTACATTGGGCACAGTTCACGCCTTGACCACATATGCCTCATGTGTGCATGACATCTAACATCATGCGGTACGGCGCAAGTGTCCCGCCGAAAAGCTGAAAGTATATGACTTCCTCACTAACATTGCAGCAATCGTCAACAATTATCCCAACCTACCCCCGTCCTCCCCAACCACCTAACCCCAGCCTCGCGTCACTTAAACTCAACAAATCCAAAATGAGAACTCGCATCGCCCTCTACATAACCACCCTCTCCTTCACACCCGAACACCTCTCCGCCCTCCTCCAAACCTTCGACACCGCACAAACCGAATACCCCCTCGATCCCTTCCCAGACTACATCCGTCCTCGCCTCCCCTTCCCTGACATCTCCCCAGCCTCGACCTCCCAGCCCGACGGCTCAGAATCTTCAACTCCAGCCTCATCCTCAACTTCAACAACGAACTGGGCTCTAGGACTGTCCTCGGATGAAATCTGGACGCGCCACACGGCCGAATGGAGACCACCGAACTACGCGAAAGGAGAATGGGACGAATGGGCCCGTTCTCCCATCGTCGTGGTGGACGAACGCACGGTGAAGGACGGGAGCGTGTTGGTCGTTGATACCGACTACATACATGATGAGTCGGAAGAGGGGAGGCAGGCGCTGAAGGGGGTGAGGTTCGAGCCTGTGCATGTTCCGGTGGCGGTGGCGAATTTGGAGATTGCGAATTTGGGGTTGGGTGATGTCAGTGTTTTCATTTGTTCGTTCTGTTGGGTGTGAGCATGGTGATTACGGTACTGATCGTCTTCCGGGTGCCAGTACGAGGAGGATTTGTGCGAGGATGGAGTGTGGCGAGGATTCCCGGATGTAGCTGTAGCATCGACGAATGGTGAGCGATGAGTATATCTGTCGCGGAAAAGGTGGTGAACTTACGGACGATATGGTGCATTAGATGGTCTTCGAACTGAGTTGTAAGAAGCGCACTTGCACGCCGTTGGTAGCGAGAGGGAATATAGAGTTTGTGTCTGTGGATAGATTTAGTACATTCGAGAGCGTAGCCTTTTGGATGCTGTTAGAGCTTGTCTGTAGGGCTTCATGCCCACGCTAAGACAGCAATGCCGCGTGTGAAGAAAACGTGAACGATGGAGAGTAGATGAGGAATAGGGGCAAGATATCATTCATGCCTCCTAATAAAGCCGCATCGAATACAACGTACAGTTCCCTTTTCCTGATTCTCTCGCCTCATTCTTACATGTCCAAATGCCATCTTCTTCGTATATATCCCCTCCTTCTACTTCAACTCCTTCAAAAACTCACCCATCGTCTCGACCACAACCATATGATCCTGATCCTGCTTCAATCCACTAACAATCACAATCGCCACCACTCCCTCCACTCCCTTCACCCTGACCGGAAATCCACCTCCATGAATCGCATACGTCCCGCTCACATCGTCACTCATCCCATACTTCTCTCCGAATGCCTTCTCGTCCCCGTCGAACTTGCAATGCATGTACCAAGTCGAGCACCCGAACCGCAGCACGGTATTGCGCTTGCGTGCGATCCAGAGCATGTTGTCCGGCGTAGTACCGGGGGCGGTGACGGAATGGAAAAGGAGATGAGGAACGGAGGAGAGGTTCGGGGAGGAGTTGTTGGTGGGCGTTGAGGTAGCGAGAGAGATGGAGATGGCTGCGGGCTTGGTCGGTGCGACTTGAACCAGCTTGGTACGAAGGGCAAGCCCGAGGTTGAAAGCGGTCTCAGCGGTGAAGGAAGGAAAGATGAGAGCCGATTCTTGTGCCTGGATGGCACTGAGCTGAAGCGAATTCACTATCCGTTATTATTTGTGAATGGAAACTTGTGAGATCCATGGACTTACTTCCTGAGGAGCACTTGCGAGGCTGGCCATTGTCAATGTTAGAGATGCTGACAGTCTGAGAAAGAGATAGAAATATAGGAACGAAGACGGGGAAGGCCTGAGTTTATACGAGCCCCGGGGCTCAAGGTGGATGAGGTGGATGAGGATGAAAAGTTATGCGGGCTTGTTCTAATCGCGGGCTCGGCATCGGAACCAAGAACAGAGAAACGAAAAGGGTGCCACCGCCACTTGAGCAGGAACTTTATCAAGACCTAACCTCAAAACAGGGTTACCGAACGCCACCACACGAAGTGACCATCTGTGGCGACAACTCGTGTTCGCTCTCCTCTCGTTCACCAACTCAAAGTCTGACACAAACGGAAAATGATCTGGTGAACACTTCATACTTGGCTATGATGTACTTTATCTACAGGAGAGTTAATCTCCCCCCATTTTCCACAGATTTTCTCCATGATTTCTCGTGTTTCCTCGGCTGGGCCAAGTTCTCTCCGACCACACATGAGAAGGTCAGTTCTCCAGCTCTCCGAGACTCTGTGCTCCAACTTATCGATCTATCATTTATATAACTCAGGATAAAGTGCTTCCCGCATGCACATCCACCCCCCGCAGGCTCGACTCACTCCCACCACCACCCCCTCCGCTCCAACTTCAGCACATCCTCTCGAAGTCAGAGTAACGCCCCCCAATTCAAGTTCAAGCCCGATTTCTACGTCGTACCACCCATTCCTTCCAATACACCCATCTCACCACCACCACTTCCCATTCCGCCCGCTATTCCGCAAGTCCATAAGCAAAAGCAAGAGCCAACGGCCAAGGCCAAGGCTTTCGAGGAGCTATCCTTCAAGGCTTGGAAGAAGAGACAACGAAAGGCTTGGAGAAAGAAACAACGAAAGGCATCGGAGAACACGTCACTGCAGGCCTCTACTTCAAGGCTGACAGAGCCTTTGTATCTACCGGCGCCGGAGCATCTGCGCAAGGATGCACGCGAACCGTACCATGAACCTTCGACGTCGGAGTTGAAGAAGGATGACGATGCGTCCCTCATTATCACCGAACGAAGTGACGTCCGCGAGGTTGAGGTTGAAGAACAGGCCGAAACCCGTTCGTCATTCCCCTCTTCTTTCTCTCCTTACATTCTTCCCCTGTTCTCTTTCCGTCTCAAGAATCACAACTGATGCCCACGTTTCAGTCTTCCGATATCTCACAGCTCTCCCCTTCCCCGACTTCATCTCTACCATTCGAACACACTATCACCACCCATCCAACCATGACCCAGATCACGACCAACAGACTCCATCCACCGCACGCTCCGACCGACCATCCCAATCTCCATCTTCATCTCCGCAGCCATCATCTCCAGCCAAACCGCGTCCACGCCCGCGGCCGCAATTAGTGGAGAACCTCCGGTGGCGCGTCAAATGGGAGAAAACGTTGGAGCGGAAAAGACGAAACTCGGCGTCAGCGCTGACGTCGGACGCATCGAACTCAAGTCTTCATTCGGGTGCGGAAGATGCTACGTATTCGTCGTTCCTCACGCCCCAGACATCTTCATCACCGGCCCCATCCCCACCCCGCACGCTCACTCCCTCACCTTCATCTTCATATTCATCTTCGCCGTTACTCTCGCATCGTCTATATACCGCACCGTCGATCTATGGGGTTCTGATACGTCCAGAATGGATCGAGAAGGCGAAGGAGAGGTATAAGTTGAGGAAAGAGGCTCAAATCGGAGGTTACGGTGGTGGGAGCAGAGGGTGGAGGTGGAGAGTAGGCAAGTACAGGGTAGGGTTCGGACGAAAAACCATTCCAATCGAATCGAAAACGTGTTGAGAGCGAGGGTGGTCGTTAAACGTGGATGGTCATGAAGCGTGAGGTGTGAGGATCGGCAGAGGACGGAGAGCGTATCCTGATCAATACTGATGAATTGGGACCTTCCTGAGAATGATAAGACGGGAGAGCGAGGGGTCCACCGTACGAAGTTGGAAGAAAGGACTGTTTTGGTGGCACGCACGAGATGAGAAAGAGGCATGGACATGGAGGCCACTCCCGTTCATTCACTCCTCCGAATATCGATGGGTGACGAACAAAACTTCGACTCGACTCGTCTAACTTCACATCCTCCGAATCCGCACCATCGGACTTGCTTCCGCCGCTCTTACCCATCTGTTTCGCCACATCGCTCCGTGCACGACTTTGGTATCGCACTCGACCCTGGCTACTCAGGTCAATATCATGGAATCATAACCCCCACCCATCGCGATTCACCCATCCATTCGCCCGTCGGCTCTTCGTACATACAACCAAGGATGAATATGTGCCTGTGACCTACACCACCGACTGCCGACCTCTCTTCCACCTTCCGTGGGCTACGAAGACCGCCATAACCTTTGGTTACCGGTCTATCGTTTCGTTTCGGACCACTGGGAATGTCTTTTGAGCTGTATACCTATAGTACGTATATTTTTTCATATCGTCCCTTTCTTTTTGCAGAGTTTAACGTCCCGTTTACTGAGGCTGACTTTCGGACTGCGTAGTTCCCATGTACCGGTACGCCGATCGGGATTGAGTACGCCTTCGCAGTTGTCCAGGATCACTATTACCGCCACCGCCACCGCCACTACGCCAAGTCCCAGTCATCACCTCCACTCACCACTGATACCACCCAACGACTCGACGCGATTCAACTCAACTCCACACAAAATGAAACGAAATGTCTCACCGAGTGCGTGCTTCGACACTTCAAGGGAACAGCTTACCCAATGGCTATCGGTCTCATGTCTCTTCTCGTCCCTGTGCGGTGCAGTCTGCTCCTACGAGCTGATAGCACTGTCGTATCCTGTTCGCTTGAGACCACGGCGGAGGAGTAGGGGGGGAGAAGCGTGCGGATGGTGCGGGAATGAGATGGTTATTGAGGAGTTGACATCGTTTGTGCACCTGTCCGCAGTCATGATTTCTTTCAGGCCCTTTCTGGTCTCTGAAATCATCGACTCGTGCGTGATAAAGTCTTGAATGCGGCTCGTCATATCCTGTTCGACGGTTGACGGCATCACCCTTTCCCAACACTGTCCAGTTCTATGCGATGAGGGTTCCCCCAGAGCCTGTACAAGGTGCGTCGGTCGGGTGACAGAGCGTGTAAGTAAGCTGTTGCGCAGGCCGTGGCGAGCCTAGCATTACTACGCATACAAGGCTATTGACGTGAAGCATGTTTCTTACTGCTTCGCAGGAACTGTTGACCACAAGGTCTTTACCAAGATTTCCTTCTGCGGATATTTTTCATCTGAAGCTCTCATATATAATCTTGCGCCGTGTATATAAAACACAGACCAAGTCCCGTGCAGAACCCATCGTTCTCAGAGCACTGTATGGAATATGCCAGTCATGCTTCCATGATCACTTTCGTCTCCGCTAATGGGACGAGGCTGTCTCACCGTCAATGATGCCGAAGGGTAAATCCTAGTCGACTACTTCGACGTAGTACAAGCTTAACGCCAGTTGAAAACACCATGACGTGCCGGAAAATCTGAAGGTATTCCCAAATATTAGAATCAAGTTTCAGATATGTGGTCGATCGTCTCAGTAGTTGACTCAGAGTCCATGGGTGACGTCTCTCGTCACCCCTACCCTTCACACTCTGAGCTTGTCGCTGGGAGTACTTCCATGATAGCCTAGATAGCTGTCTCCCCACCGGACGCAGGAGATACATGACTCGTGCCCTTGTTCCATACTTCCTGCGTACACTTTGCTCTCATCTTCATGCGTCAGCTGGTGTTATACACGGACTTTGTGCGTAGTTGCTTCAGGCGCACGCACGACGCTTGGAATGGAAGGCTCATGCACCTGAACCTGTCGCTATTCCTCATTCTTCTCCTTAAGTTTGGGAGGAAAAATAAAACGAAAAAGACATATTCATCTCGTATAAAATACAGCGCACAAGTGCGAGGTAGACTCCATCCCTCCACAACCACCATCGAATTACCATCTGCAATATCACACACATACCTTCGCGTTCGTAGTCCTTTCCCTCATCTCCGACGTTTCCCTATAACTCACGTCTCCAGTATATAGCATGTCTTACACCGTCACCGTCCGCGTCTTCCAGACGAACCCCTCCTCCTTCTTCGAAATCATCGAGAAATGCGTCTTCAACTACGGCGGCGGCGGCGCCTGGACCGAATCCAACGACCAACAAGTTCTCCGCATGAACTCCTCCGGCACCTGCGGTACCCTCCGCTTCGAATCCGCCGACCGCAACGAACGGTTCATCGTGGCGCTCGGGGTGCACAACTATGAGCGCTGGTGCGACGTCGTGACCGGGCTGGTGCCGCACGACACGGGCGTCGTTATCACGCCGGAGTGGTATGGCGCGAAGAGGTCGTATATGAGGGAGAAGACGTTGAAGGATTATAGCGTGACGAGCGCGACGGGGAGGAACATTGAGGTGAAGTATACGGTTGCGGAGGGCCATGAGCTGAAGGCGGATATCATCATCGGATGAACATATGTATGTGGGCTTTCGTTCTCAGATATTCTCCAGGCAGATAATGTATTGATGATCTGCCATTTTGTACAGAACATCTTGCGAAGAGATACTCACCAATCAGTATCCGGCACTACGAAATTGATAGGGGACAATCGTTGTTCGTTATGTGGTTGCGTGTTGATGGGTTTCAGACGGGTTCCTGGAAAGTATATGGGTGAACATCGCGTTACGTTTGTGTTTAGCAAGATGGTGTCAACGAGAGAGTGAGAGTCTGGCCTTGATGTTATGATGAAAAAACATGCCTATCTATTGCGAATAAACTGTTTGTTGTCAGTGGCCAACTTGAGGATGTATGTAGGATGACTTGAACAGACACCGGCAGAATGGGGTCGTATGAACCCGAGCCGCAAGAACCACACTGCTAGCATGCAGAACGCAAAGAAGAGTATAGGTCATGCTGACAATGATTGCGAACAAGGATGAGGTACACAGTATGTTGAGTTTACAGATTGATACTGTACATAGGCCAGGAAAGTCCGCTCTAATTTTCCTTTCGTCGCTTTCTTCTCTTCTAAATGGGGTTCTCTTCTTGATGATGGTGCGTGGTATCGCGGTCCATCGATACGTAAGGGACAGTGGGGGGTGGGACGTGCTCATAGAGGCGTGACGGCGACGAAAGGCATGATAGTGAGCTTTTCCTTGTCCCACTACAAATAGACATAACGGCGTCATATAATCAGCAGAGGTATGAGAAGAGAGATCGTTGAGCAAGTAGAAGTGGCCAAAAGTGGGGGATACAACACGAAGAAGGCGGAGGAGGCGAGGAGGCGAGGAGGTGGAAAGATGTTTGTTGATGAAGGAGCGGATGACGTACAACTTTACCGTCCCAGTACGGATCGCTCTCGATGATCGTCCTAACTTCGGCCATGTTGGCAGCCGCGACGACGAGCATTGAGCCGTTCATTTTGCGTTCTGAGTTATCGAGCTCGAGCGAGTCTGGGGTGATCGTGAAACCGGCGACCTCTGGATAGACATCGGATTGGGGTCGTACGGCTCATCAGCGTGGAAACGAGATGAATAGCGCGATTGGAATTGAGAACGAAGAAAATACGAACTGAGGATGCCATTCTCGATGAGTGTCTTGATGTTTGTGGCGTGATTCGGACGAACGGCAAGACGACGCTTCAAGCAATCCGGGTCTGTGTAATCCGGAGCCCAGACGGCGAAGTGGTGAGTCATGACGATGGATGAAGTGAGGATAGGGTGTATGAGGGGATGATGGGCAATCTAACAGACGAGGACGACGACGAGGAAGAGGTGGAGGTGGAAGAGAAAGAGGTTAGAAAGGTCGACTGCGACGTTCTGGATGTGATCTACGATGGATTAGGGGTTCTGACGTCACCCCACCCGCTTTTCATTTTGTGCTTCCTTTTTTTGGGCTGGTAGCCATTCTTGTCAACGTCCTTCTCCAAAACTTGTGCTCACTTGTGTTGAATTACAGTTTGTTACTGTGATAATCAAGCTACAAGCATCTGCAAAAGTCGCGGGTGGCCATACAGACGACCGAGGAAAATATCAAATTATCCTTTTCTGCTCTGAATCCCCTCGTTCCAATTCACCAGCAACTGGTCACATCATCTAGATACACTGTTCACCGCTGACCCGTCCATTCCTCCACAATTTATCCAAGTCCCCATGCTAGCGCCAATACCTGACCCCTCTCACAAAGAGCGTACGGGTCTCCAAAAGGAATATTATTTTTCGACGTGCCGAGTACGCGGATGATCGTTCCGAGGTTTGTGGACTGCTCCGACACGGTCAGTCGAACGTTGAAGTGTAAGAGTGCGTTTGAGAAAGAGGACGTACCTGCAAAACATCGACCCCAAGCCCATTCTTTAAGCTCTCTATCTGTGTCAGCACGATGCTCGCGTTCAACATGCCCTAACCACACATGGAATCAAGCAAAACCCAGTCAATTAGTCTCATGCCGAGGCATTGTTTGAACTTCGGCAAGAAGGGAAACTGAACGTACCTCTTGGCTGATGGTGACCTTCCCCTTCACCAGCCTCTGCAAGACACTCACCCACTCCTCGACCTCTTCTTGCTCTACCGGTAACGGAATTGTCGATGGTGCTGGTATGAATCCGGGCCCGATGACCGAGGTTGATGTTGAGCCAGAAGGCGCACCGACATCAGACGGTGGCCTCGTGGCAGCGTCCTTACTCGTCGTCGAAGAACGTACGGCCTGGGCAACAGTATTCCTTCCCTTTGATGTCGCTTGCGTCGTCTCCAGTGCAGGTACTGTCCTCGGCCTCCCTCCCTTTCCCCTCCGGAGTTCCACACCAGAGCCGAACGCAGAATTATCGCCTTCTAAGCTCTTGAGGCTGAACGGTTTCGGCTTAGGTTCTTTCTTCCGCCTCGAGATGGACGGGGTGACGGACGAAATTGCCGCAGTGGACTGAGGAGATGTACGAGATGCAATGCTTGGGACTCGATCCTTCGAATGGGTCGGAACAGTTGTAGTCGTCGGAACTTGTGGCGGTAGAGGAGCCTTGGGAAGCATTGGGCCGTGAATCGCAGCTCTGTCCGGAATCGGGGCTGGCGGCGGTATCGTGCTCGTGGCCGACGTCGAGAAGGTGAGAAAGCCCAGCTTCAGAGGAAGAGGCATGAGCTCTGTTCTCTCCTGCTCTAGCTCCTCCCCCAACCTATTGACATCAACATCGACATCGAGTCTTCCCGACTCGCTCACAACGTCCAACACCTCGGACCCCGTGCCAAACGAACCTTCCACGCCCGATCTCAACCCCACCCCACCCTTCATTCCCTCCTCTTCCACCATCGTCTCACCCCCGACCCGTCTCCTCTTCGCCGCCCGCTCCTCTTTATCTTCCGCCTCGGCCTCTCGTACGCGAACCCGCTCATTATGCACCTTGATCTTCGAATCGAGCGAAGCAGGGACCTGTAATAAACGTTTCACAGCGAAATCGGTGGGATTCGTCGTGGTTGCGGGTACTGCACGGTCGACGGCCTGGCCAGAAATATCGCCAAACTTGCGTTTCCTGGACGTCGGTACTTGAACCTGAACTATCGAAGGTTCATACCAAGATATCGAAGCCTCGAACTCGCGCGTCCCAGTGTTCTCCGAATCCGCGTCCGTCTGAGGTATTGATGACAGTTCTACCACTGAGTCAAGTTGTACTACGCTAGCAGGACTTGCCATGACGCCGACGCTAGCACCGGGATCGAAGTCGTCTGGCAAAAAGGGCGTGGGAGTGCGAGGACGTGGAGGGACATTGCATGGACGACGAAGTGCACGTTTCCGCAGACGCTCCTCCTTGGCATGAAGGGTCGAAGTCGAAGAGGAAGCGTGGCGTTGAGTGGCGAGAGCGGCGTTGACGACGGCGGAGATTGTGCTGGGCTTCCTGTTGATTTTAGGTTCGAAGGGAGGGATAGGCGTCGTGGCGTATGGCGTGGAAGTGGAAGTAGGGGGAGCGGGGAGGAAAGGGTTGAGGTGGTCGCCGTGGAGTTCGTTTTCGTCGCCGTCGCCGTCGCCGTCGTCGTCGTCGTCGTGGGAGTAATATTCGTTGTCCGAAGAGGGAGATATAGAACGAGAGACCAAAACCGTCGGAATTGAGGATTCGTCCTCCTCCACCTATACAAAAAAACAATCATGCACGAACCAATCCAGTCAGCATGGCCACCCTCCATCAGACCCAAGTGCCACTTCAACATACCTTCACCGCCACATCCCTCTGAGCCGGCTTCCTCCCCATCGCCCTCTCGAACCCCACGTCCCCAAACAATCCCCTCATCATATCCACATACGCCCCCGTCACCGTCTTCTTCTGCTCCACTCGTACCGATCCTTTCCTCCTAACCTCCTCCTCCTCCTCCTCGGGGAAGAACAAAGGCAAAGAAGACCGCTCAAGATACCTCCCCAAGAACCTCATATCATGCCTCAACCTAAACACCTCCGTCTCGTTCGTTCTCTCCTCACGTCTCAGCGGAACCTCAACCCTCCCACATAACCCATCGAATACTTCATCCCGCACTTCCAACTGCCTCTGCCTCTGCCTCTGCCGTTGATTGTGGTTGTCGGTAGGACCAGGATCGGGACGAACGCACGCCGGTCGAACGGGTCGTCCTGCTTTTTGTGGGACGAGGTCGTAAGGAAACACCGGAGATGGGACTGGGGGAAGGGATGGGAAAGGCGAGTGAACTAATCGTTTTTCATCTCGTCGCTGCGGCAGGTGTTGAGTAGGTGTGGGCGTAGGCGGTGGCGGTGGTGTGGACTTTACGGCAGAAAGCAGGGGAACAGACTGCCCCCTCACTCTCGGGAAGCGCGAACCAGGGAACGAATCTCGCGACGGAGCTTCTACATCTTGTTCCGCTTCTGAAGGTGAGTCAACGGCGACAGCTAGCGAAGGGCGCGGTTGTTGAGACGGGCCTGAGGTTGGAAGCTGAGGATTGGTGGGCAGTGGGTCTGGTCTCTGTATGGGCGTCGACGAGAATGGAGGTGATGTTATCCCAGCCTGAGCCTGAATTCGAGCCGCAGAGGAAGTCGTGGCGTTAGCATCCGACCTAACGAAAGGCTCGCTCGTCGATGAATGTGCATGGAGTGCGTCGGTCCTGGTGGTAGTCGTAGTAGTCGTAGCCGTACCTCCCTTCACCTCCGAAACACCTCCAACCGGCACCTCATCCGACAACTCATAAGGTATCGGACGTGGCCTCGGAGGGATGACGCGAGAACGAGGGTCGTAGAATGTCGTCGGTTCAAAGGTGGGTTTACTGGGCAGTGAGGGATGGAGGAGATTTGGTTTGTTGGTGGGTGGCGTAATCGGCTGGGCCACACGGTCCGGATTCGGGTGTATGGGATGCGCGAGGGACGTAGAAGTGGGAGAGGAGGTGGACGTCGTGGGGGGACGCTGGGGAGAGGATATGCTTGTGGGTGTGGCAGGGGAAATGGCGGGGCCGTGATTATGTCTTCGTTTATGCTTGCCGCGCTTCCGCTTCCGTTTGGACTTCGAGAGTTCTCCGGTAGATACAGTCGAAGCTGGTGGCACTGTGGCCGTCGAGGTTGAAGTTGGCATTGGGGGTAATATGGCTATGGCGGTAGAGGCCGATGCATGCGCGACAGGCATATATATACCTACACGACAAAGGCCGAAACGAGAACAATAAGCCTTGTGAGAAGAACAAAGCTATGACCAGATGCAGAAACCCACCTCCTGCTTCATGCGGCAAAGCATGAATCGTCCCTATCCGTCCATATACATATCCCTCTCCGTCTGAATCCAACTCCATGTCCACTTCCTCGTCCGCCACTTGTACTTGCTCCTCATCCTGACGTAAATCAACAACTTCGCCTTCTTCCAACCCGGATGCTGATGCATTGTCTGGGTTCGGTCGCACGACACCACTGGCCTTCGTACCCACACCCAGTGCAGGACCCACTATAGCCTCCTCGTCGTCATCGACCAGCTCCCCGTCCTCCACCTCCCTCGGCACGCCACTCACATCCACGATCCCACTTCCATCTTCACCCGGATTCGGACCCTGCCCGGCGTTCAGCATCTCCCCATCATGATATTTATACCCGCGCCCGTCCCATTCGGTGACCTCGCCATCTTCCGCCATTCCAGCACCGGCATGCTCGTTCGTTCCATAATCTTCGATCTCGCCTCCTTCGACGATGATTTCGCCCTCCTCGCCCTTTTCCTCTTCCTGGATCATGTCTTCTTTGAGCTCGTCTCTGTCGTTTTCGGTGACTTCGCCCTCCTCCACGGCTTCGACTTCGGCTTCGGCTTCTACTCCCGCTCCGACCTGTCCCTGCATTTCGATTCGTCCATCCTGCTCTGTTACGATCGCCGCTTCCCCTTCCTCTGCTTCTACCTCTGCCTCTACCTCCTCATCCGCGGCCCCACCGCCAGCCATATCCCCATCTCGCTCCACGACGTTACCCTCATCAAGCTCCGCGCCCTCATCTTCATTCACATTCCCACCCCCCTCCGCGACATCATCCCTATCCCCATTCCCCCTTCCATCGACACCCCAAATATCGCACTCGTCGCTATCAAAACTCACCCAATCCCCATCATCGCTTTCTCCTTCTCTTTCTCCTTCTCTCGCTCCCGCTCCACGAGTGACCCTTCCTGCGTTCGCGTTCGCTTTATGGTGCTCATCACGGAGATACGCGGTTAGACGGGAAGTTGAAAATCGACGGAGACGAGGAGGCTGAGATGGAGAAGGTGCGGGGTTGTGGTTGGGGTTGGGGTTGGGGTTGGGGTCGGGGCTGGCGCTGGGACTTGGACTGTTTCGTGTCGGAGGTGTGGGTGTGGTAGAAGTAGAAGCTACGACGAGACGGAATAGCGTTAGTTAGGCAATTAACGTGAAATAGCGAAGCTCAACGAAGAGCTGAACGCACGAGTCATTTCAACTTCTTCTTCGTCTTGAGCGTCTTCGTCATCTCCATCATCCGACGAGCTCTCCGGACACGTTAACTTTTCCGAACGCCTCCGTCCTGAGCGCAGGTATGAACGAGGTTGTTCGTCTTCCGGAGGAGCTGAGATACGAGCGGTCAACGGTGGGGTATTAAAAATGGATAACAAGAGCATGAGCATACGAGTTATGTTGTCGTCGTCTTCGCCCGACGAGCTCTCCACTCGTATTTGTCGGATAGTACGCCTTCGTCCCGATCGCAGGAAAGAAAAAGGTGTCGAGGCCATGAAAGTCAATGTATCTGAGATATGCGCCCCCAAACTCGTCTCGTCGACAAGATCATGATCATGGTCTATACACCCATACCGTTAGACGAAGCAAAGAACAAGGGGAAGAAGAATGAAAGAGAAGCATACCAGTTGTGCCATGTTCATCTTCAATATCCTCGTCCGGCGAGCTCTCCGGGTACGTTTGTCGGATAGTACGCGTCCGAGTCCGAGTCCGGCCTGAACGTAGGCAAGAAAGTGGAGGTTCCGTTTCTGGAGATGAGATTTGCGCTTCTGGAGTCGTGCCGTTGACGGTGTCGTGTTCTACATGCGCGGATCGTTAGACGCAGTGACTGGCACGGTACAAAATGATGAATAAAAAAACATACGGGTTGATCCATCTTCATCTTGCACGTCCTGGTCATGCTCGTCATCCATCGAGTTCGGCGCATGCGCTTGAGGTACCAGACGCTTCCGTCCTGAACGGAGAAAAGAATGAGGCGGTGGTGAAGCTTCCGAAGGAGTTGAGATACGCGCTAGTAAGTTCCAGCCGTCAGTGGTAGAGATGAGTGTCAAGAATATGAACATACCGCTTGTTCCAGCTTCATCTTCAGCATTCTGGTCATGCTCTTCATCCGATGAACTCTCCGCATGCAATTGTTGAACACGACGCGTCCGTCCTGAGCGGAGAAAGGAAAGAGACGGTGGAGAAGCTTCCGAAAGAGTGAAGATACGCGCTGCAAGATCAAGCCGTCAACGGTTGGGTATAAGAGAAGGAATAACGGAAAAAACGTACGAGTTATTTCATCTCCGTCTTCACCATCCACATCCTCGTCATGAATGTCATCCGACAAACAGTCTGGATAAGTTTGCTGGGCAAGACGCGGACGTCCTGACCGCAGGACAGAAAGAGGTGCGTCGCCTTCCGGAACAGGTGTAGATAGATGCGAGATACGAGCAGCCGGGGTCAAGGTGTCGGCGCGGTCATTGTCTACATGCCCATACCATCGCACCGCAGAATTGTTAGCATGAGACCGATGCGCACATACTGTGTACCGCATAGAGGAAAACGCACCAAGATCGGGATGCTCAGCGCCGTGCCTTTGTTCCTTCCTCCCTGGTTCCGAGTCCGGGTCGAATTGTTGTGCATGCTCTTCTGCGTGTTCACCATCAGGCACGATTGGTTCCGTAGGTACATCTTGAGGATTAGCGGGGGCTGGAGGAGCGGACTCCCTCCCACTAAAGCCCCTGTCGACGGAAGCAGAAACAGACCGAGTGGAGCGTATCGCCTGTAGGGCAGCAGCCTGCCGTCGTAGTCGAGCCTCGCGCACTCGCTCTTGCTGGATCGCCTTCCACGTCGAGACCTCTACGTATGGGCGACGGCGGTATTTCGAGGGACGTGAATTGAGGCGGGTGCGGGATCGTGTGGCGCGTGAGTGTGCGTGGGAGCTGGACGCTGGACGAGAGGCTGATACAGATGAGATCGATGAAGATGCATGATTGTTTGCGGGAGTTGGAGAACGCGAAGATGAAGATGAAGGGGCGGTGTGGGTGTGCTCGACGTCGGTGTGTTGGCGGAAAGGTCGTTTGTGGACGATGATCGCGTCCTCTGGCGCTGGGGAATTCCGGGCCGACGGGGAGCGCTCCTCGTCTTCATCCTCTTTCGCGTCGTCTCCCTCTTCGAGTTCCTCCTCTGTCTCGTCCTCCTCGTTCCCGCTGGTCTTGAGCGTCTCGTCCTGTGCTCGCTCCGGTGGCTCTACAGAATCGGGACCCGAAAGCGGGGGTGTAGGAAGCGCCGTGGATGGATTGGCCGGGATCTTGAAGTTGGCTGCCACTGATGGTTGATTGAGAGCTTGATTGACTGCTGACCGGTGTTCATCAGCTTGTTTGAACGGGTGTTAACAAGGTGGGATGGTGAATTACTTGGCTGGTTGTATCTCTCTGATTTCCTGGTTGCTGATCTGGTTTTCCTTTGGTTTAGGCTCATGGCTTGCTTGTTTATCTTTCCTGTTTGTGCTTGTCCTTGGGTGCTGTTTCTGCTTCTTCTTGTGGATTTCTGGAGCAAAAACTGGAATAAGCTTGGGTTTGCATGTGGATACTGTAAACTGGCTGAAAAACTAGCATCGCTTCCTGCAAAAATGCAAGCTACGGACCTTTGTCCAAAAAAAAAAGTAACTCTTCTTCTTCCCTTTGCTTGATTTCCTCTTCACCTGGTGGTTTTGGGTATCTCTTTTGTGGGCTTGAACTTGAGATCTTGGAATCAAGTTCCTAGAATGCTGGTATGCTGGTATGCTGCTGTCCTTGTCTTGATGTTCCAGAAATCCAAGAAAAGAGAAAAAAAATCCCAGAAAGTTGCTGATATCTCCAAGGGGGAAAAAGGCCTCGCAAGAGAAAAAAATCCCCACATCCTTATATATTCCATCCTTGCTTGTCCTTATTTGCTCGTAATCAGATCATCACTGATAGCATGAGAACCTCATGGAGGCCACATGGTGAGTGTGAGAAAGGGCTGCGTAAGCTGAAGTTGCCTCATGTTTTTGTGCGAAAATGTGGTGAGGCTGGGCTTGTCTGGGCTTGGTCTAGGCTTAAGGACAAAGTTGTACTCGTGGCTGATGAGGATATTGGTGATGGCGGGCATCCAGTTGTCTTTGTCTCTATTGAGCTTCTCGTTAACACACATGAAGCGGCCTTTCTGGAAGATGTAGTGGTAAAGGTAGGGTAAAGTTGATTAGATATTAGGAACAGCCATTTATGGAAAATTCATTTTCTTTTCTTTTGCATGTCTTGCCACACTCGCCACACTCATTTTCTTTTCCTTTCCCTTTTCCTGACTCATTCACTTTCCCATCACAAACCCTCATGACATCACAATGTGCTTACGATACCATGATAACCTCTATATTAGGAACAATCATTTATGGACAATTTCTTTTCTTTTCTTTCGCATGTCTCGCCACACTCGCGACACTCATTTCTTTTTCTTTTTTTCTTTTCCCTTTCCTGGCTCATTCATGAACTCTCATGATGTCATGACGTGTTGACAATACCATGATGACCTTTACAATTACGCGTCTATCACGGACTCCCGGACTCCCGGACTCCTTGTGCTAAGGTAGCCTGGTCCTAAACCTAAGGCGTCACCTATAGCCAAACCCTAACCAAACCCAAACCAAGCCTAACCCTGTAGCTGAGGGTGTCGGCGTACGAATGTGAGTACTAGGAGCGCTTGTCCTAGGGGCACTAGCCCAGAGAGAATGTGGGTGAACTGAGACCGTGGGCTTGGGGCTGGATACACCAGGACACAAGGTCACACTGAGTATGACGAGAAGCAAAGGAGATCGAGTTAGGGAACTATTCTACGATACAGGTGGTTCTTATATACATCCTGAGCTGACCCTTTAGGGCACACCCTCACTGTACACTACGAGTGAACACTACAGGAATCCTTCATGGATATCCAGTGGGTCCAGCAATGGGCACAATGGGTACAAACCGCTGAGTCAACATGCACAAGACTATTCTAGAACATTCCAGACCTGATCACATGTCCCTACATCACGACCACAAGGTCACATGCCATCACGTGCCTACCACATGACTGGTCACGTGTCTATCCCTCTATCCATCCCACATCTCCATCGTCGAAGTGGCACCTGGG